TGACCCACGGACCTGCTCAGCCACTCTATATCCACGGTGACGACCTTCAAAGCCTCCAACCACGCTACAAAAACACCATCAATAACCACCTACACCGAACCACAAAGACGTTACTTTCGTAAAGCTCGAAATCCTGGGTGGCCCTCGCCTCCGTGACTATCACACACACAAACCCGTGCTTATCCAACAAATGCTCAGGCGATGGCACCACTTTCCCCCCCAGCAACCTAACCACACTCTCGACCTCTTGTTGAGTGGTGGACGCAAATGGCGCAGCTGCGTGGATTTTGTACCCCTTGAACAGGGGCTTCGTTGACCGGTTCAAGCGCGACCTCTGGGGTCCCGGCGCTCCAGAAACGTCCAGAACTTCGAACGGTTCCTGAATTTAGTGACCCAACTATAGTTTAGTTGCTTGATTTTTGGAAAAACTTACCTCCGGTACTAACGCGTTCTTGGCCAGACACTGCTGCACCCACCCGAAATTCAGCACCCACGCACCCGAGACGAACTTGATCGTGTGATCCTTCAAACAATTTTTGTCGTTGGTCGCCACAATCAAGTGAGTCACTTTCGGGGTGAAACTCGTGCTATAACTGGCTAGTTTTTTGTTCGTCAGGGACGAAATCGCAATCACTTGTTCCTTACTAACTCTACTACAAGCAATGCAGGGTTTGCGGTGATCCAACCCTTCGAACGAAGCCGATTTGTGGGACTTCGGACTGTCCTGCGATGGTCGGACGTACGTCAAAATACTTTTCTGCTTGGGGGTGGAATTACCCTGAGATAGGGGTTTTTTGATAATCGTGAGCGGACAAAATTTGCTGAATTGTTGTTGCGCTAGTTCGTACGGACCGAGAGTCCGTCGATTTTCACGATTCCACGATTTATTAGTTTGTTGAATCGGCGAGAAACGCACCTTTCGATTTTTTAACTTTTCGAATCAAAAAACGTGAAAAATTGGAAAATTGGAAAATCAAAAATGAAAAAAGGAAAAAGTAAAATTAAAACGAAAATTTGAAAAATTCACTAAACGAAGAATTGTGATATAAAATCGAGAAAATGAAAATTAAAAATCAAGAACTTGAAAAACTCAGAAAACGAAAAATTGAAAAATCGAAAAATATAAAATTGTATATCGAAAAAAATTGAAAAAACGAAAAACCGAAACATTTGGAAGTTGAGAAATTCGAAAATTGACAATTTAAAATATAAAAAAAAATGTATTGTAAAATCGAAATCGGAACTTCATAAGTGGGAAATCAAAAATTACAAAATTTAAAAATTAAAAAATTTGAAAACCGAGGATTTAAAAAATCGAAGACTGAAACTTTAAAAAATTGATTTAACGAAGAATTGTGACATAAAATCGAGAAAACGAAAATTAAAAAATTGGGAAAAAGAAAATTCAAGAACTTGAAAAATTGAGGAAATGAAAAATCTCAACATTATGAACATGAAGAAACATAAAAATCGAAAAAAATATGTATTGCAAAATCGAAATATAGTCAGAAATTCGAAAATTGGATAACTGAAAATCCAAAAATTGCACAAATGAAAAATTGGAAAATCGAGGAATTGAAAAAGCGAAGATTGAAAATTTGAAGAATTGAATAAACGAAAAATTGTGATACAAAATCGAGAAAATGAAAATTAAAAGTCAAGAAATTGAAAAATTAAGGAAACGGAGAATGGAAAAATCGAAAAATTATAAAAATTAGGAAACTAAATAATGGAAAAAAAAGGAAATATGTATTGTAAAATTAAAATATTATAAAATTAAAGAAATCGGAAAGTTGGATAACTGGAAGTCCAGAAATTGCAAAATTACAAAATAGAAAAATAGAGGAATTGAAAAAGCGAAGATTGAAAATTTGGAAAAATCAAGGAAACGAAAAAGTGAAAATAAAAAAATTATAAAAATTCGTAAACTTAAAAACTGAAAAAGAGCAAAATCAAAAAAATCAAATGCGTATTGTAAAATAAAAATATTATAAAATTGAAGAAATCGGAAAATTGGATAACTGGAAATCCAAAAATTGCAAAAGTACAAAATTAACACAAATTGGACAATCGAAGAATTGAAAAACGGAAAATTAAAAATTTTGAAAAACTAAGGAAACGAAAAATTATAAAAATTGGGAAATATAAAAATCGAAAAAGTGGTAAATCGAAAAAATCAAATATGTATTCTATTGTAAAATCAAAATATTATAAAATTAAAGAAATCGGAACTGAAAAGCGACGATTGAAAATTTGAAAAATTGAATAAACGAAAAATGAGAAAATGATTTTTAAAAAATCGGGAAAATGAAAAATAAAAATAAAGATCTTGAATAAGTGAGGAAATGAAAAACTGAAAAATAGAAAAATTAAAAATTGGGAAACTAAAAATCGAAAAAGGAAAAACTGTAATATCGAAAAATTGCAAAACTAAAAAATTACAAATCAAAAAATTGAAGAAACGAAAAACTGAAAACTTTGGAAGTTGAGAAATTGGAAAATTGACAAGTTAAAAGCGAAAAATACGAAACTTCATTTTAAAATCGAAACACTAGTAATTAAAAATAAATTGGAAAATTTTGTAAATGGAAATCCAAAAATTGCAAAATTGAAAAATTAAAAAATCGAAAATCGAGGAATTGAAAAAGCGAAGATTAAAAATCTGGAAAAAATTAAGAAAAATGAAAAATTAAAATCCAAAACTACGAAACATCTATTGTAAAATGGAAATATTAGAAACTAAAAAGAAATTAGAAAATTTAGTAAGTGGAAATCCAAAACATGCAAAATTGAAAAATTAAAAAAAATGGAATATCGAGGAATTGAAAAATCGAAGACTGAAAATTAAAAAAATTGAATAAACCAAAAATTGTGATCTAAAAACGAAAATGATTTTTAAAAAATGGAGAAAATGAAAATAAAGAGCTTGAATAAGTGAGAAAATGAAAAACTGAAAAATTGAAAAATTGAGAAACAAAAAATCGAAAAATGAATAATTGTAAAATTGAAAAATTGCAAATCAAAAAATTGAAGAAACGAAAAACTGAAAAATTTGAAAGTTGGGAAATTGGAAAATTGGTAAATTAAAATCGAAAAAAACGAAACATTATTGTAAAATGGAAATATTGGAAATTAAAAAGAAATCGACAAATTTGATAAGTGGAAATCCAAAAATTGCAAAATTGAAAAATTAGAAAATTGGAAAATTCAGGAATTGAAAAATCCAAGGCTGAAAATTTAAAAAATTAAATAAACGAAAAATTGTGATATAAAATCGAGAAAATGCAAAATAAAAATCAATGACTTGAAAAATTAAGGAAACGAAAAATTGAAAAATCAAAAAACAAAATATGTATTGTACAATCGAAATATTAAATATTGGGAAAGTGGAAAATTGGATAACTGGAAATCTAAAAATTACAAAATTGAAAAATAAAAGAATTGGAAAATTGAAGCTTAAAAATTTCGAAAATTGGATAAACGAAGAATTGTGACATAAAATCGAGAAAATGATTTTTAAAAAATTGGGAAAATGAAAAATCGAAAATTCAAAATTGAGAAACTAAAAATCGAAAAATGAAAAATTTCGTAGTTGAGAAATTGGAATATTGACAAATTAAAAAAAAAACATCTAGTTATTGTAAAAACAAAATATTGGAAATCAAAAACAAACTGGAAAATTGCGGAATTCAAAAATTGAATAAACGAAAAATTGTGATATAAAACCGGGAAAATGAAAATTAAAAAATCGGAAAAATGAAAAATTAAAATCAAAAACTTGACAAATTAAGGAAACGAAAAATGGAAAAATCGAGAAATTCGGAAACTAAAAATCGGAAAATTGGAGAAGTGAAAATCCAAAAATTGCAAAACTGCACAATGGAAAAATTAAAAAATTGGAAAATCGAGGACTTGAAAAAGCGAAAATTGAAAATTTGGGAAATTTAATAACGCAAGATTGTGATATAAAATCGAGAAAATGAAAATTAAAAAGTCGCGAAAAGGAAAAATAAAAATCAAAAACTTGAAAAATTGAGGAAACGAAAAATTATAAAAATGAAGAAACTTAAAAACCGAAATATATATTATAAAATTAAGAAATCGGAAAATTGATTAACTGAAAATTTTAAAAATTAAGAAACTTGAAGATCGAAAAAATGCAAAATCCAATAATCAAAATATGTATTGTTAAATCGAAATAACTACTCCTATTATAAAAGTAAGAAATCTGAAAATTGCAAAATTGAAAAATTAAAAAATTTAATACACATACAACTGTGACATAAAATCGAGAAAATGAAAATTAAAAAATCGGGAAAATTCAAAATAAAAATCAAGAACTTGAAAAAATGAGGAAACCGAAAAAGTGGAAAAGCGAAGATTGAAAATTTGAAAAATTTAATAAACGAAAAATTGTGATATAGAATCAAGAAAATAAAAATAAAAAAATCGGGAAAATGAAAAATAAAAATTAAGAAACTTAAAAATCGGAATATCTACTTTAAAATCGAAATATTATAAAATAAACGAAATCGAAAAATTGGATAACTGGAAATACAAAAATTGCGAAATTGCAAAATTGGAAAATCCAGAAATTGGAAAAGCGAGATTGAAAAGTTGAATAATTGAGACATAAAAGCGAGAAAATGATTTAAAACAAATGTGAAAATGAAAAACAAACAGCTTGAAAAACTGAAAATTAAAAATTGAACTAAAAATCGAAAAACTGCAACATTCAAAAAACGAAAAATTTAAAAATTTGAAGGTCGTGAAATTGTACAATCGCCAAATTAAAATCCAAGAAAAAACGACATACGTGTTGCAAAATCAAAATATTGAATACACGTTCAAAATTTGACAACAATCGGTCCAGTAGTTTCAGAGATTATCCCATAAAAATTGATACAGGCAACAGACGGGCAGGCGGAAACGGGAGACCACTTCTTTCATACTCTAACCGCCCTAGTTTACCCTCAGGAAGTAAAAAAATACACCCAAAATGTGAAAAAATAACTTCAATAAAGCATCACAACTGTACAAAAATAAATATTTTCTGCTTAAGATTACGTTGAGCTTGGCACACTGCTGAAGGTTTGTTGCGAGAACGAATACGTCATGTTGGCCGTCAACTCCGGCGGGTACCCCAGGTTGTCGATCGTGTCGTCCGAGCACAGCGTGAAAGGGCGCAGACTCAGAAGGTTATACTGCCCCACGGACCTGCTCAGCCACTCTATGTCCACGGTGACGACCTTCAAAGCCTCCAACCACGCTACAAAAACACCATCAATAACCACCTACACCGAACCACAAAGACGTTACTTTCGTAAAGCTCGAAATCCTGGGTGGCCCTCGCCTCCGTGACTATCACACACACAAACCCGTGCTTATCCAACAAATGCTCAGGCGATGGCACCACTTTCCCCCCCAGCAACCTAACCACACTCTCGACCTCTTGTTGAGTGGTCGACGCAAATGGCGCAGCTGCGTGGATTTTGTACCCCTTGAACAGGGGCTTCGTTGACCGGTTCAAGCGCGACCTCTGGGGTCCCGGCGCTCCAGAAACGTCCAGAACTTCGAACGGTTCCTGAATTTAGTGACCCAACTATAGTTTAGTTGCTTGATTTTTGGAAAAACTTACCTCCGGTACTAACGCGTTCTTGGCCAGACACTGCTGCACCCACCTGAAATTCAGCACCCACGCACCCGAGGCGACAGCCGAGACGAACTTGATCGTGTGATCCTTCAAACAATTTTTGTCGTTGGTCGCCACAATCAAGCGAGTCACTTTCGGGGTGAAACTCGTGCTATAACTGGCTAGTTTTTTGTTCGTCAGGGACGAAATCGCAATCACTTGTTCCTTACTAACTCTACTACAAGCAATGCAGGGTTTGCGTGGACCCAACCCTTCGAAAGAAGCCGATTTGTGGGACTTCGGACTGTCCTGCGATGGTCGGACGTACGTCAAAATACTTTTCTGCTTGGGGGTGGAATTACCCTGAGATAGGGGTTTTTTGATAATCGTGAGTGGACAAAATTTGCTGAATTGTTGTTGCGCTAGTTCGTACGGACCGAGAGTCCGTCGATTTTCACGATTCGACGACTTTTTAGTTTGTTGAATCGGCGAGAAACGCACCTTTCGATTTTTTAACTTTTCGAATCAAAAAACGTGAAAAATTGGAAAATTGGAAAATCAAAAATGAAAAAAGGAAAAAGTAAAATTAAAACTTTTAAAAATCTAACATGTCGAAATCAAGGACTTGAAAAATTGAGAAACTTAAAAAGCGAAAAAGCGCAAAATTGAAAAAACGAAAATTTGTAAAATTGACTAAACGAAGAATTGTGATATAAAATCGAGAAAATGAAAATTAAAAAACCGGGAAAATGAAAAATAAAAATCAAGAACTTGAAAAACTCGGAAAAAGAAAAATTGAAAAATCGAAAAATATAAAATTATATATCGAAAAAAATTGAAAAAACGAAAAACCGAAACATTTGGAAGTTGAGAAATTCGAAAATTGACAAATTAAAATATAAAAAAAACACATGTTTTGTAAAATCGAAGTCGGAACTTCATAAGTGGGAAATCAAAAATTACAAAATTTAAAAATTAAAAAATTTGAAAACCGAGGGATTAAAAAGTCAAAGACTGAAACTTTAAAAAATTGAATAAACGAAGAATTGTGACATATAAAATCGAGAAAATGAAAATTAAAAAATTGGGAAAAAGAAAATTCAAGAACTTGAAAAATTGAGGAAATGAAAAATCTCAACATTATGAACATGAAGAAACATAAAAATCGAAAAAAAATATGTATTGCAAAATCGAAATATAGTCAGAAATTCGAAAATTGGATAATTGAAAATCCAAAAATTGCACAATTGAAAAATTGGAAAATCGAGGAATTGAAAATTTGAAAAATTGAATAAACGAAAAATTGTGATACAAAATCGAGAAAATGAAAATTAAAAGTCAGGAAATTGAAAAATTAAGGAAACAGAAAGTGGAAAAATCGAAAAATTATAAAAATTAGGAAACTAAAAAATCGAAAAAAAAAACGAAATATGTACTGTAAAATCAAAATATTATAAAATTAAAAAATAGGAAAATAGAGGAATTGAAAAAGCGAAGATTGAAAATTTGGAAAAATCAAGGAAACGAAAAATTGAAATTAAAAAAATTATAAAAATTCGGAAACTCAAAAATTGAAAAAGTGCAAAATCCAAAAATTCAAATATGTACTGTAAAATCAAAATATTATAAAATTGAAGAAATCGGAAAATTGGATAACTGGAAATCCAAAAATTGCAAAATTACAAAATTAACACAAATTGGATAATCGAAGAATTGAAGAAGGGAAAATTAAAAATTTGGAAAAACCAAGGAAAAGAAAAATTGAAAATAGAAACATTATAAAAATTGGGAAATTTAAAAATCGAAAAAGTGGTAAATCGAAAAAATCAAATATGTATTCTATCGTAAAATCAAAATATTATAAAATTAAAGAAATCGGAAAATTCGATAACCGGAAATCCAAAAATTGTAAAATTGCAAAACTAAACCATTCGAAAATCCAGGAATTGAAAAGCGACGATTGAAAATTTCAAAAATTGAAGAAACGAAAGACTGGTATAAAAACGAGAAAATGATTTTTAAAAAATCGGGAAAATGAAAAATAAAAATAAAGAGCTTGAATAACTAAAGAAATGAAAAATTGAAAAATCGAAACATTGAAGAAACGAAAAAGTGAAACATTTGAAGCTGAGAAATTGGAAAATTGACAAATTTAAATCGAAAAAAAACAAATATCTATTGTAAAATCGAAATATTGGAAATTAAAATGAAATCGGAAAATTTGATAAGTGGAAATTTACAATTGAAAAAATAAAAAAATGGAAAATCGTGGAATTGATAAATCGAAGACTGAAAATTTAAAAAATTGAATAAACGAAAAATTGTGATATAAAATCGAGAAAATCAAAATTAAAAAAAATGGGAAAATAAAAAATAAAAATCAAGAACTTGAAAAATTAAGGAAACGAAAAATTGAAAAATCAAAAAAACACATGTATTGCAAAAATGAATTATTAAAAATTAGGAAATCGGAAAATTGGGTAACTGGAAATCCAAAAATTGCAAAATTGAAAAATTAAAAAATCGAGGAATTGAAAAATCGAAGAAGGAAAATTTAAAAAATTTAATAAACAAAAAATTGTGATATAAAATCGAGAAAATGAAAATTAAAAAACCGGGAAAATGATAAATAAAAATCAAGAATTTAAAAAATTAAGGAAACGAAAAATGGAAAAATCGAAAAATTAGGAAACTAAAAAAATCGAAAAAATGCAAAATCCAAGAATCAAAATATGTATTATAAAATCGAAATAACTATTATTAAAATAAGAAATCGGAAAATTGGAGAGGTGAAAATCCAAAAATTGCAAAATTGCAGAATGAAAAAATTAAAAAATTGAAAAATCGAGGAGTTGAAAACGCGAAGATTGAAAATTTGAAAAATTGAATAAACGAAGAATTGTGATATAAAATTGAGAAAATGAAAATTAAAAAACTGGAAAAATGAAAAATAAAAATCAAGAACTTGAAAAACTCAAGAAGCGAAAAATTGAATAAACGAAAAATTGTGATATAAAATCGAGAAAATGAAAATAAAAAAAAACGAGAAAATGAAAATGAAAAATTATAAAAATTAAGAAACATAAAAATCGGAAAAGTGCAAAATTAAAAAAAAATATGTATAAAAAAATCGAAATATTTAGAAATTCGAAACGAAAAATTGTGATATAAAATCGAGAAAATGATTTTAAAAGAATCGGGAAAATAAAAAATAAAAATAAAGAGCTTGAATAAGTGAGGATATGAAAAACTGAAAAACTGAAAAATTAAAAATTGAGAAACAAAAAAATCAAAAAATGAAAAATTGTAAGATCATAAAATTGTAAAATGCAACTCAAAAAATTGAAGAAACGAAAAACTGAAAAATTTGGAAGTTGAGAAATTGGAAAATTGACAAATAAAATCGAATAAAAGGAAACATTTACTGTAAAATCGAAATATTGGAAATTAAAAAAAGATGGAAAATTTAATAAGTGGAAATCTAAAAAAAGGAATATGTATTGTAAAACAGAAATATTGAAAATTAAAGGGATCTGAAAATTGCTTAAAGGGAGATCCAAAAATTGCAAAATTGAAAAATTAGAAAATCGAGGAATTCAAAATTAAAAAATTGGGAAAATGAAACAAAAATCAAGAACTTGAAAAATTAAGGAAACGAAAAATGGAAAAATCAAAGAACACAAAACATGTGCTATGAAACGAAATATTGAAAATTAGGAAATCGGAAAATTGGATAACTGCAAAAATTGCAAAATTGAAAAATTAAAAAACTGGAAAATCGAGGAATTGAAAAAGCAAAGATTAAAAATTTGAAAAATTGAATAAACGAAAAATTGTGACATAAAATTGAGAAAATGATTTTTACAAAAATCAGGAAAATGAAAAATTAAAAATTGAGAAACTAAAAATCGAAAAATGAAAAATTTGGAAGTTGAGAAATTGGAAAATTGACAAATTAAAATCGAAAAATTTGATATGGAAATCCAAAAATTACAAAATTGGAAAATTAAAAAATCGGAAAAATGAAAAATAAAAATCAAAAACTTGAAAAATCAATGAAATGAAAAATGGAAAAATCGAAAAATCGGAAAATTGGAGAAGTGGAAATCCAAAAAATGCAAAATTGCAGAATGGAAAAATTAAAAAATTGGAAAATCGAGGAGTTGAAACAGCGAAGACTGAAAACTTGGAAAATTTAATAACGTAAGATTGTGATATAAAATGGAGAAAATGAAAATTAAAAAATCTGGAAAATCAAAAATAAAAATCAAGAACTTGAAAAATTGAGGAAACGAAAAATTATAAAAATTAAGAAACTTAAATTTCCAAATATTATAAAATTAAGAAATCGTAAAATTGGATAAGTGGAAATTCAAAAATTGCAAAACTGAAAAATAAAATAAATATAAAATCGGAGATTTGAAAAAGCGAAGACTGAAAACTTGAAAAATTTAATAAACGTAAAATTGTGATATAAAATCGAGAAAACGATTTTTAAAAAATCAGGAAAATGAAAAATAAAAATTAAGAAACTTAAAAATCGAAATATATATATTATAAAATTAAGAAATCGAAAAATTGGTTAACTGAAAATTCAAAAATTGCAAAATTGATAAATTAAAAAATTCGAAAATCGAGGAATTGAAAAAGCGAAGATTGAATATTTGAAAAATTTAATAAACATAAAACTAACATAAAATCGAGAAAATGAAAATTACAAAATCGGGAAAATGAAACATTAAAATCAAGAACTTCAAAAATTGAGGAAGCGAAAAATTGAAAAATTATAAAAACAATTTAAAAACCGAAAAAGTGCAAAATCGAAAAAAAAAACGAGTATGTATTGTAAAATCAAAATATAAAATTAAGAAATCGGAAAATTGGATAAATGGAAAACCAAAAATTACAAAATTGAAAAATTAAAAAATTCGAAAATAGGGGAATTGAATAATCGAAGATTTGAATAAACATAAAATTGACAAAATCAAGAAAATGAAAATTAAAAAATCGGGAAAACGAAAAATAAAAATCAAGAAGTTGAAAAATTAAGGAAACGAAAAATTGAAAAATCGAAAAATTGAAAAATTAAGAAATTTAAAAACACGGAAAGTGCAAAATCGAAATATGTATTGTAAATTCGAAATATTATAATATTAAGAAATGGGAAAATTGGATAAGTGAAAACTCAAAAATCGCAAAATTAAAGGAAATTGGAATTAATTAGAAATCCCATCCTGTCTCAAGGTGACCAAAGTAATCCCTATCCACAAAAAGGGCAACGTAGATGATGTTGATAAATATAGACCAATCTCTATAACGCCTATTTTTGGGAAAATTTTAGAAAAGATTATGCTTAAACAACTTGAGGAATACGTTAATAAACAAAATATATTGAACCAACGCCAATTTGGTTTCCAACATGGCAAAAGTACAACCATGGCTATTAATAGGCTTGTTGATGAGGTCATTACCTGTTTCGAAACAAAACAATTCTTAGGATGCACATTTTGTGATCTATCAAAAGCTTTCGATAGTATTAATCACAACATTCTAATAAACAAGCTTGAGTTGTACGGATTGTCAAATGGAGCCTTACAGCTTATTTTTAGTTTTCTCCACAATCGCCAGCAGGTTGTTCTGTTTAATAATGTATACTCCGAAATGACAATAGTTAACATAGGAGTGCCACAAGGCTCGATTTTAGGTCCGTTGCTCTTTTTGTTATACATTAACGACTTGGCTAAACATCTAGACAATAAAATCATACTTTTTGCGGATGACACTACTTGCTATAGTGTGGACTCAGATATCCCGTCTCTCTTGGACAGGATGGAACAAGATATTAATGCTGCTAGTGAATGGTTTACTTCAAACAGATTAACGCTTAATGTACTGAAAACTCAAAAAATGGTGTTTTCCCTTCGTTACATTTCTGAGATTGACAATCCGAGGTGTGTCAAATTTCTTGGTGTGACACTGGACCCGAAATTATGCTGGGATAATCACGTCATTGATATCTGTAAAAAATTGTCCAAATCAACTTTTCTTATTAGGAATTTGCAATATGAGGTTAGTGAGCAGATCCTTATGATGATATACTACTCTTTATTTCAAAGTATTTTTAGCTATGCCATTATAACCTGGGGCCACAGCAGTCATTTAAAAACCGTTTTTAAATTGCAGCGCCGAGTAGTTCGAATTATTGGAGGTCTATCTTACAGAGCTTGTGTTAAAAATTATTTTAAAGAAAAAAGTATTCTCACCGTGCCCTGTCTTTATATTTTATATGCTTTATTATATGTGAAGTCTAATCTCACCATTTATAAAAATTCCACAAATATGTCATTAATCACGAGATCTACCCATAGCATTCACACCGAATTCTATCGTATAGGTAGAAGTAGAAATGCCATCAATTATTATGGGCCCAAATTATTCAATAAATTACCGAAACGTATTGCTAACTTACCTTTTTCGCAATTTAGCCGTACTATAAGAAATTTTTTATTAAAAAACGCATTTTACTCTCTCGATGAATTTTTAAATTGTAGCGATGTCCTGTGTAGTTTTTACCAGTCGATTTGAATTATCTTGTAAATTGTATAATTTTAAACTCTTTATATTGTAACTTCATCTGACTTGACTTATGTACCCTAATGGTCATTAATAAATACTTACTTACTTACTTACTTACTTACTTACTAAATTCAAAAATTGAAAAAGCAAAGATTGAAAATTTGAAAAATTTAATAAACGAAAAATTGTGATATAGAATCAAGAAAATGAAAATAAAAAAATCGGGAAAATGAAAAATAAAAATTAAGAAACTTAAAAATCGGAATATCTATTTTAAAATCGAAATATTATAAAATAAACGAAATCGAAAAATTGGATAACTGGAAATACAAAAATTGCGAAATTGCAAAATTGGAAAATCCAGAAATTGAAAAGTTGAATAATTGAGACATAAAAGCGAGAAAATGATTTAAAAAAAATGGGAAAATGAAAAACAAAGAGCTTGAAAAACTGAAAATTAAAAACTGAACTAAAAATCGAAAAACTGCAACATTCAAAGAACGAAAAATTAAAAAATTTGAAGGTCGTGAAATTGTACAATCGCCAAATTAAAATCCAAGAAAAAACGACATACGTGTTGCAAAATCAAAATATTGGATACACATTCAAAATTTGACAACAATCGGTCGTGTAGTTTCAGAGATTATCCAATAAAAATTGGTACAGACGACAGACGGGCAGGCGGAAACGGCAGCCCACTTCTTTCAAACTCTAACCGCCCTAGTTTACCCTCAGGAAGTAAAAAATACACACAAAATGTGAAAAAATAACTTCAATAAAGCATCACAACTGTACAAAAATAAATATTTTCTGCTTAAGATTACGTTGAGCTTGGCACACTGCTGAAGGTTTGTTGCGAGAACGAATACGTCATGTTGGCCGTCAACTCCGGCGGGTACCCCAGGTTGTCGATCGTGTCGTCCGAGCACAGCGTGAAAGGGCGCAGACTCAGAAGGTTATACTGCCCCACGGACCTGCTCAGCCACTCTATGTCCACGGTGACGACCTTCAAAGCCTCCAACCACGCTACAAAAACACCATCAATAACCACCTACACCGAACCACAAAGACGTTACTTTCGTAAAGCTCGAAATCCTGGGTGGCCCTCGCCTCCGTGACTATCACACACACAAACCCGTGCTTATCCAACAAATGCTCAGGCGATGGCACCACTTTCCCCCCCAGCAACCTAACCACACTCTCGACCTCTTGTTGAGTGGTCGACGCAAATGGCGCAGCTGCGTGGATTTTGTACCCCTTGAACAGGGGCTTCGTTGACCGGTTCAAGCGCGACCTCTGGGGTCCCGGCGCTCCAGAAACGTCCAGAACTTCGAACGGTTCCTGAATTTGTTCACCAACTATAGTTTAGTTGCTTGATTTTTGGAAAACTTACCTCAGGCACTAACGCGTTTTTGGCCAGACACTGCTGCACCCACCCGAAATTCAGCACCCACGCACCCGAGGCGACAGCCGAGACGAACTTGATCGTGTGATCCTTCAAACAATTTTTGTCGTTGGTCGCCACAATCAAGTGAGTCACTTTCGGGGTGAAACTCGTGCTATAACTGGCTAGTTTTTTGTTCGTCAGGGACGAAATCGCAATCACTTGTTCCTTACTAACTCTACTACAAGCAATGCAGGGTTTGCGGTGACCCAACCCTTCGAAAGAAGCCGATTTGTGGGACTTCGGACTGTCCTGCGATGGTCGGACGTACGTCAAAATACTTTTCTGCTTGGGGGTGGAATTACCCTGAGATAGCGGTTTTTTGATAATCGTGAGTGGGCAAAACTTGCTGAATTGTTGTTGCGCTAGTTCGTACGGACCGAGAGTCCGTCGATTTTCACGATTCGACGACTTATTAGTTTGTTGAATCGGCGAGAAACGCACCTTTTTGTGTTCTTCGTGCGGCGTCTTCGGCAACGTTTTGCAGTTGTTTCCGTGGCACGAAATCGGCGAAAGGCTGATGTTCTCGCTGTCTTGTCTTTGCGACACGGGGGTGCTGGTGATTTTGTTAATAATCGCGAGAGGGCGCCGTGGTGGACTAAACACCTGACTTACGTCATCACTTTTCCGAACGTGGTGTTTCTCACTGTCTTGAAACTCTATAGGTGGAGGTAGAGTTACATCAAGCGCCGACTCCTCTCTACAATTTAACAACAAAAAAACTATACTTCAAGTCAAAACTGACTGATTTAGACCTCACCTCTCACTACTAAAACTCGGAAACCTGATCTTCTGCGGCGTCGACTCCACAATATCCACGTCGCTACACTGACTCAAATCCTCCTCCTTCTTACTATCTGCGTTTTTCACGACCACGTTTTCTAAAATGTTTACTTTCATGATGTTCTCCACCTCTCGGTCGAGGTCACAAGTTTCGGCTTTACCCGCGCTGGGGTCAACCTGTTTCATCACGATGTCGACGTTATCCTCAGTCAATGTTTGGTTCGCCACGACGGTCACGTTTCGTTCGCTGGCGAACATGGACTCGGAGAACACGCTCGGGGATATTTTGGTTTGGTCGTTTTTCGCGTCGAAGAGGTTCCTTCGAATGTTTTTTGAGGTTTTGTCGGGGTTTGGAAAGTACGAAGACGGTTTGAAGTAGTCGGTGGGGTCTTCGACATTGCGGGTGGTTTTTCGAGCGTTGGCGATCATTTCTTCCAGTTCTTCGATTTGTTCTTGGGTTCGGGTCTTGGCAGGGGCTTGCGGTGGTGGGGGGTTGGTTTTTTCGAGGACTTTGTCGATGTAGTGCTGGAAGAACGCGATGGATAAGGTTGATAAAAATTATAAAATCACCAAATTTTCCAAGTTGTTTATTGCAATTTTTCATTTTTTGATTTTTTTTCGATTTCAAAATTTTTACATTTTTCAGTTTTTGATTTTACAGTTATCAGATTTTTTAATTTTACAAATTTTTCAATTTTTTTATTTTTAATTGTTCAAAATTTCAGTTTTAATTTTTCAAGTTTCTGATTTTTCAATTTAATCATTTTACAATTTTCTGTTTTTAAAAGGTTCAAATTAATTTTTTCGATTTTCTAATTTTTGACGTATAATATTTCAAAATTTCGACGTCGAATTTTTTTATTCATCAATTTGACAATTTGGCACTTTTTCGATTTTTCAATTTTGTAATTTTTCTATTTGACAATTATCTGATTTTTCAATTTTTCCATTTTTAAAATTAAAGATTTTTCAGTTTCGTAATTTTGCATTTTTTTTATTTTTTAGTGATAAATTTTTACAACTTTTCAAATTTTCGATATTTCCATTTCTCGCTTTTTCAACTATCGAGCCTCAATTTTCCGATATTCCTACTTTGAGATTTTTCCATTTTTCAATTTTTTAACTTGAATTTTCAAATTTTGATTTCATGATTTGTTCAGTTTCTCAATTTTTCGATACATTTTCAATTTTACTACTCAATTTTTTAAGTTTTTAGATTTTTCGACTTTCAAATTTTAGATTTTTCAATTTTCCGATTTCTCAATTTTTTATGTTTGTTTTAGAATTTTTCAATTTGTCTTTGATTTTGCAATTTTTCGGTTAATCGATTTTCGGTTTCATTTTTCGATATTTCATTTTTGGAATTTTTCAGTATGTATTACGATTCTTCAGCTTTTTTATTTTTCAATTTTTTGATGTGTCAATTTCTCGATTTTTAAAAATTTTTCGGTTTTTCGATTTTGGGCTATTTCGATTTCTCAACTTTTCGATTTTTTTGATTTTTAGATTTTCCAATTTTTCGATCTTTCGATTTTCTGATGTTTCGATATTGCGATTTTTTTATTATTTCAATTTTTCGATTTCTCGTCATCCCGGTTTCTCGATTTTTCACCAATTCAGTTTGAGAATTTTTCAAGTTCTCCATATTTTAATTTTTCGATTTTTTAAATTTTAGATTTTTCGGTTTTTTAATTTTTCGATTTTTTGATATTCCAATTTCTCTATTTTTCTTAGTATTAAAGTAAAATTTCAATTTTCAATTATTCAATTTTACGATATTGTAATTTTTCGATTTTTTTAATTTTATATTTTTCAGTTCCTAGATTTTCCAATTTGTCAGTTCGTTGATTTTTCAATTTTTTAATTTCTGAATTTTTCAGATTTACAGTTTCATAATTTTTCGATTTTACAATTATCCAATTTTACAATTTTATAATTTTTACAATTTTTTGAATTGTCAGTTTTATATTTTTACAATTTTTCGATTTCTCAATTGTCCGATTTTTAATGAATCGATTTTTTAATTACATATCTGATTTTCCAATTTCTCGATTTTTCATTTTTCAAGTATTTTTGTTTGATATTTAAATTTTAGAATTTTTTCGATTTCAAAATTTTTCGATTTTTCAATTTTTGGTTTTACAGTAATTGGATTTTTCAATTTCCCATTTTTTTCAATTACGTATCACATTTTCCTATCTGTCGATTTTGCATTTTTCAAACGGCTGATATTTAAATTTTAAAATTTTTTCGAATTCAAAATTTTTGAATTTTTCAACTTAATGATGTTTCTTCAATTTTTCAATTTTGGAAATTTTCGACTTAACCATTTTTCCATTTTAATTTTGCAAATTTTCATTTTTACAGTCTAATAATATTTCGACTTTACAATCATCCAAAATCGTGTAATTTATATATTTTCAATTTTTTGATTTTTAATTGCTTAAAAATTCAATTTTAATTTTTCAAGTTTTTGATTTTCCGTTTTTAAAAATATCCGAATTTCATTGCTTCGATTTTCTAATTTTCTGATTTTTATTTTTTCAAAATTTCGATTTCTCAATTTCAAAATTTTGCACTTTTCCGATTTTTCAATTTTGTAATTATTTTTTCTTTTAAAAATTATACGATTTTTCATTTTTCAATTATTCGATTTTTTAATTTAATAATCCTGCAATTTTTCATTTTTACGGTTTAATATATTTACGAATTCAGAATTATCCAATTTCTCAATTTTGTAATTTTATAATTTTTGCATTTTTTTGTTTTATATTGTTTAACATTTCAGTTTAAATTTTTTAAGTTTTTGGTTTCCCGATTTAATTATTTTACAATTTTTTATTTTTAAACGTATCTGACTTTCCAATTTTTCGATTTTACACTTTTTTGATTTTTCAATTTTACATTTTTACAATTTTCGGATGTGTTTTTAATTAATCAATTTCTCAACTTTCCATTTTACTTATTTCATTTAAAATTCTTCGTTTTTTCAATTATTGAATTTTTGCGATTTTTTGATTTTTAATTTTTCAAACTTTCTATTTTCAACATTTCAAGTTTTTTATTTTTCAGTTTTAGTTTTTTAATTTTTCGATTTTATAATTATCCAATTTTCCAATTTTGAAATCCAAAAATTGCAAAATAGAAAGCAGAGGAACTGAAAAATCGAAACTGAAAATTTAAAAAATTGAATAAACGAAAAATTGCAGATAGAAAATCGAGAAAATGAAAATTAAAAAATCGGGAAAATGAAAAATAAAAATCAAGAACTTGAAAAATTTAGGAGACGAAGAATGGAAAAATCGAAAAATTATAAAAATTAGGGAACAAAAAAATCAAAAAAGTGCAACATTCAAAAAAATAAATATGTATTGTAAAATCGAAATATTATAAAATTAAAGAAATCTGAAAATAATAATGGATAATCGAGGAATTGAAAAAGCGAAGAAACGAAAAATTGAAAAATCGAAAGTTTAAAATGAGAAAATTAAAATTAAAAAAAAAAACGAGAAAATGAAAATGAAAAATCAAGAATTTGAAAAACTAACGAAATGAAAAATCGGAAAAAAAATGTATTAAAAAATCGAAATATTATAAAATTAAATAAATCGGAAAATTGGATAATCGAGGAATTGAAAAAGCAAAGATAGAAAATTTGAAAAATTGAATAAACCAAAAATTGTATTATAAAAGCGAGAAAATGATCTTTTAAAAAATAAAAATAAAGCGCTTGAAAAACTGAGAAACCGAAAAATTTGAAGAATCTAAAAATCGAAAAATGAAAAATTACAAAATTGTAAATCCAAAAATTAAGAAACGAAAAATTGAAAAATTTGGAAGTCGAGAAATTGGAAAATTGACAAATTAAAATTGGAAAATCGAGGAATTGAAAAATCGAAGATTGAAAATTTGGAAAATTGAATAAACGAAAAATTATGATAAATCGAGAAAATGAAAATTAAAAAATTGGGAAAATGAAAAATAAAAATCAAGAACTTGAAAAATTAAGGAAACGAAAAACTGAAAAATCAAAAAAGACAAAAATTGTGACATATCGAGATAATGATCTCTAAAAAATCGGAAAAATGACAAATAAAAAGAAGGGAGGAAATGAAAACAAAAAAATCGAAAATTGAAAATTGCGGAACTAAAAATCGAAAAATGAAAAATTTGGAGTCATGAAATTTGAAAACTGACAAATTAATAAAATAATAAACAAAATATGTATTGATAGATATCCGAATTTCATTGCTTCGATTTTCCATTTTTCAGTGTAATACTTTTACAATTTTTCGATTTTTCAATTATCCACTTTTCAACGAATCAGTTTTTGAATTTAATTTTAATTTAATAATTTAAATTAATTTTTCAATTATCAGATTTTCCAATTTCTAGATTTTTCAATTTTTCGGTTTTGGAACCCTTGGGTTTTTCAATTTTTTAATTCAACATTTTAATAAATTTACGAATTCAGAATTATCCAATTTCTCAATTTTGTAATTTTTCCCTTTTTTGTTTTATCTTGTTTAAAAATTCAGTTTAATTTTTTTAAGTTTTTGGTTTCCCAATTTAATTATTTTTACAATTTTTCATTTTTAAAGGTATCCAACTTTTCAATTTTTTGATTTTACACTTTTTTGATTTTTCTATTTTATATTTTTTACAATTTTCGGATGTGTCTATTATTCGGTTTTTAATTTTCCAAAATTTAGTTTTTCAATTTTTTAAGTTTTTGTTTTTACTCGATTTACAATTTTATCTAGTTTTTCAATTTTGTAATTTTGCAATTTTTTGATTTTTCAAAATTAATTTTTTTAACATTTCAAGTTTTCGACTTTTCAGTTTTAGTTTTTTAATTTTTTGATTTTATAATTATCCAATTTTCCAATTTTCAAATTTTGGAATTTTTTTATTTTTCAGTTTTACATCTTTAATTTCCAAATTTCTCGATTTTTGAACTTCTCGGGTGTTAAAACTTATTTATAGCCTGTCATTTATTTTCTTACACTGGTATTGTCTATATTTGTTACAATACGTATATTGAGGTATAAATTCGAGAAGATGAAATTAAAAAAAAATGAGAAAATGAAAAATTAAAATCAAGAACTTGAAAAATTAAGAAAACGAAAAATTGAAAAATCAAACACAAAATATGTGTTGTAAAATCGAAATATTAACAATTAGGGAGTTAAGAAATTGGAAAATTGACAAATTAAAATCGATAAAAACGAAACATCTGTTGTAAAATCGAAATGTTGGAAATTAGAAAGAAATCGTAAAATTGGATTGGATAATCGAGGAAATGAAAAAGCGAAGATAAAAAATTTGAAAAATTGAATAAACCAAAAATTGTGCTATAAAAGCGAGAAAATGATTTTAAAAAAAATTGGGAAAATGAAAAATAAAAAAAAAGAGCTTGATAAACTGAGAAACCGAAAAATTTGAAAATCTAAAAATTAAAAAATGAGAAGCTAAAAATCGAAAAATGAAAACTTACAATATCGAAAAATTACAAAATTGTAAATCTAAAAATTAAGAAATGAAAAATTGAAAAATTTGGAAGGCCAGAAATTGAAAAATTGACAAATCAAAATTGGAAAAAACGAAATATGTATTGTAAAACAGAAATATTGAAAATTAAAGAAATCGGAAAATTGGATAACTGGAGATCCAAAAATTTGAAAAATTAAGGAAACGAAAAATTGAAAAATCAAAAAACACAAAAATTGTGACATAATCCAGAAAAAAAAAATCGGGAAAATGCCCAATAAAAAGAAGTAAGGAAACGAAAAACTAAAAAATCGAAAATTAAAAATTGCGAAACTAAATATCGAAAAATGAAAAACTGTAATATCGAAAAACTGAAAAATTTGGAAGTCGTGAAATTGGAAAACTGACAAATTAATAAAATAATGAACAAAATATATATTGTTAGACATCCGAATTTCACTGCTTCGAGTTCCTAATTTTGTGATTTCTAATATTTAAAAATTTCGATTCCCAATTTTTTAAATTCTCAATTTCATAATTTTGCACTTTTCCGATTTTTCAATTATCCACTTTTTATGAATCAGTTTTTGAGTTTAATTTTAATTTAATAATTTAAATTAATTTTTCAGTTATCAGATTTTCCAATTTCTAGATTTTTCAATTTTTCGGCTTTGGAATCCTTGGGTTTTTCAATTTTTCAATTGTTTAAAATTCCAAATTGAATTTTTTAAGGTTTTGGATTCCCAATTTAATTATTTTACAATTTTTCATTTTTAAAGGTATCCGTCTTTCCAATTTTTCGATTTTACAATTTTTTTGACTTTTTAATTTTTAATTTTTACAATTTTCGGATTTGTCTATTACTAGGTTTTTAATTAATCAATTTCTCAACTTTAATTTTTAAAATTTTTCGTTTTTTCAATTATTACACTTTTGATTCTTCACTTATCCGAAATTGTTTCGATTTTCCAACTTTTAATTTTTGAAGTTTTTGTTTTTACTCGATTTTACAAATTTATCTAGATTTTCAATTTCGTAATTTTGCAATTTTTTGATTTTTAATTTTTCAAGATTTCTATTTTTAACATTTCAAGTTTTTGATTTTTCAGTTTTAGTTTTTTAATTTTTCGATTTTAGAATTATCCAATTTTTTAATTTTGAAATTTTGGAAATTTTTTATTTTTCAGTTTTATATCTTTAATTTCCAAATTTCTCGATTTTTGAACTTCTCGGGTGTTAAAACTTATTTATAGCCTGTCATTTATTTTCTTACACTGGTATTGTCTATATTTGTTACAATACGTATATTGAGGTATAAATTCGAGAAGATGAAATTAAAAAAAAATGAGAAAATGAAAAATTAAAATCAAGAACTTGAAAAATTAAGAAAACGAAAAATTGAAAAATCAAACACAAAATATGTGTTGTAAAATCGAAATATTAACAATTAGGGAGTTAAGAAATTGGAAAATTGACAAATTAAAATCGATAAAAACGAAACATCTGTTGTAAAATCGAAATGTTGGAAATTAGAAAGAAATCGTAAAATTGGATTGGATAATCGAGGAAATGAAAAAGCGAAGATAAAAAATTTGAAAAATTGAATAAACCAAAAATTGTGCTATAAAAGCGAGAAAATGATTTTTAAAAAAATTGGGAAAATGAAAAATAAAAAAAAAGAGCTTGATAAACTGAGAAACCGAAAAATTTGAAAATCTAAAAATTAAAAAATGAGAAGCTAAAAATCGAAAAATGAAAACTTACAATATCGAAAAATTACAAAATTGTAAATCTAAAAATTAAGAAATGAAAAATTGAAAAATTTGGAAGGCCAGAAATTGAAAAATTGACAAATCAAAATTGGAAAAAACGAAATATCTATTGTAAAACAGAAATATTGAAAATTAAAGAAATCGGAAAATTGGATAACTGGAGATCCAAAAATTTGAAAAATTAAGGAAACGAAAAAAAAGAAAAATCAAAAAACACAAAAATTGTGACATAATCCAGAAAAAAAAAATCGGGAAAATGCCCAATAAAAAGAAGTAAGGAAACGAAAAACTAAAAAATCGAAAATTAAAAATTGCGAAACTAAAAATCGAAAAATGAAAAACTGTAATATCGAAAAACTGAAAAATTTGGAAGTCGTGAAATTGGAAAACTGACAAATTAATAAAATAATGAACAAAATATATATTGTTAGACATCCGAATTTCATTGCTTCGAGTTCCTAATTTTGTGATTTCTAATATTTAAAAACTTCGATTTCCAATTTTTTAAATTCTCAATTTCATAATTTTGCACTTTTCCGATTTTTCAATTATCCACTTTTTATGAATCAGTTTTTGAATTTAATTTTAATTTAATAATTTAAATTAATTTTTCAGTTATCAGATTTTCCAATTTCTAGATTTTTCAATTTTTCGGCTTTGGAATCCTTGGGTTTTTCAATTTTTCATTTTTCAATTGTTTAAAATTCCAAATTAAATTTTTAAAGGTTTTGGATTCCCAATTTAATTATTTCACAATTTTTCATTTTTAAAGGTATCCGTCTTTCCAATTTTTCGATTTTACAATTTTTTTGACTTTTTAATTTTTAATTTTTACAATTTTCGGATTTGTCTATTACTAGGTTTTTAATTAATCAATTTCTCAACTTTAATTTTTAAAATTTTTCGTTTTTTCAATTATTACACTTTTGATTCTTCACTTATCCGAATTTAATTGTTTCGATTTTCCAACTTTTGATTTTTAATTTTTCAAAATTTGGATTTTCAATTTTTGAAGTTTTTGTTTTTACTCGATTTTACAAATTTATCTAGATTTTCAATTTCGTAATTTTGCAATTTTTTGATTTTTAATTTTTCAAGATTTCTATTTTTAACATTTCAAGTTTTTGATTTTTCAGTTTTAGTGTTTTAATTTTTCGATTTTATAATTATCCAATTTTTCAATTTTGAAATTTTTTATTTTTCACTTTTATATCTTTAAAATCCAAATTTCTCGGTCGTAGACAAACAAATAAAATAATTGGGTGCTAAAACTTATTTACTACTCTTATTATTATCAAAACTAGGAAAAATAATACTTACGTTGTATTCACTATCATTGTCATCTGACAACGTTATAACCACCTGGCTTTTTTTTACTTCAACACCCCTTTCTTCAACAATTTCTTCAGAAAACGCCACACTCAGTTCTTCATTGATAAACTGAGCACACGGCCTTTTTGACCGGTACTTATCCGGATCATGAAGCGGACTTTCAGGCAAAAATCTTTTAGTACCTTTAACATTCCCATCGGTACTAGGCCCAGACACCACCAAATCAGACTCTGCAGTCGCCCCATTTCCCCCAGTACTCGCTTTACTCCCCTTGAGCATATCCTCAGTATTAAAATCAAAATCTATATCATCCTCAAACACTTCAGACTTTGGCTGATTTTCCTGTTCATTTTTAACTCCAAACTCAGTTTCAAACGCGTCATTTATTTCCCGCCTTTCTTCGTCGTCTAGAACGAAAATATCCGACGGGGTGGTACTGGCCGCACTGAATTGTCGCTTGACCATGTTTCTACTGGTGTCAGATTCATCCACTGTTTGAATTTCGACACTACTTGTAACGACTTCAGTCTGAATAAACTTGTGGTGTTTCACGACTGGTTCGTGAGTTTGTACCCCCATGTGAATCGAATTTGTCTCGGTTTGTACCCCCATATCCCCCATACCGGGTCCAACTTGAGTATTTTTATCCACAGAAATGACACAAGTTTGTGTTGACGCGTCTTCAACTGAGTTAAAAATTGTCTTCAATTCATCTGCAACGAATTTGAATTCATTCAATTTTTCCCGGTCTTCACAACCAACAAACTTTCGTAAAATTTGCACAAAGTCTTTTCCCGCTTGTAGTAAATTTTTCCCCGAAACTAACCCGGTTTTTTCATCATTCATCAACTTCTCCATGTTCTCAATAAAATAACTCTCTAGAACGTCGTAATCGTAGCAGCGATTATTATTTAACGAATCAACCTCTTTCTTTGGACTACCTTTGACAACAACCTTGAGTTGTTTCGGCTGCCTGTTCAAACTCTTACTCATGTCCTTAATCCGCCCCCAGCCATTCCCGCTTTGGTTTTTTTTCTCCGTCTGCATCTCCCTCTCGATGTTATCCAAATACTCCTCCTCCATCAAGTCTATAATAATTTTTGCGTCCTTCTCGGCAGGAACGGCGACGTCTTCATCCGTCATGACTTCCTCGATTTGGTAGTTCTCCAAACCCGGCGTGTCTCCAGCTAAAGAGTGTCTTTCATTCCTGCCACTACCCTCGTTTTTTTTAATGTGTATATCTAGAGACCTCGCCCGGGTTTTAGGGGGGCTTCGACGCACACTTTTCGGCTCGCGACTTGACCGTTTTCTCGGTTTTTGGGACACTGATGGCATGTCAAACGTCACCTGGGTGTCGACATCGCTGACAACGTCAACCTGCGTTTGCGTCAACCTGTCAAACACATTCCTTGTGTCGTTCAACCACTTGAGAATGTTAGTGCGGTTTTGACAATCACTGAACTCGTGCAAACCCTTATCCCGATTTTCTTTCTTTTTATTCTTGTAGGTTTTCCTAGTTCCGTGAAAGTGGTTTCTGTGTTCGTCGTCCAACAAACTGTCAAAGAGGTCATCCTTGCTGTTCTCCGGTTGAGCTTCTAAGTTTACTAACTCCGGGACAAGTTCTGGTGGCGACTGCTGGGGGTTGGGGTTACTAAACCCCTTAAACGGACTCGTTTCCGAGTTACTACTATCAAGATTTTCATTCTTACGCGTTTGGTGTCTCGTTCGGGATTTCGGATTCTTGCTTGACCCAGAGCTCCGTGATGTGGAATAACTGACGCCGTTCTTTCGCTTGTTTCGGCTTGATTTTCGAGTTTTGGGCATTGTTGGCGATTATGGGTTTCGTTTCTCGCGCAAAACCCACTCCTTTTTAAGAAATCTGGCGGAATAAGGGGAATTAAGTACGAATAGTTTGGTTAGATTTCAACAAACAAAACAAAATACGGTCATGGCCTACTACGTGCCGTGATTAATGGTTTGGTGTCGGAACGTACCTGGGATACATTTTCTCACTGTTTTGGTCGGTTTTTGTTGAGTGAACGCGGAATCACAACAAGTTTGGACACGATTTGTGTAAAATTCGACGCCGAACGGGAATTTCGCGCTCTATTGTTGTTATAACAACCATGGAACAATCGCATAGTGACGATTAAAGTTCCTGAATCCTGAATCAGTGCTGCCAATTTGTCACTAATTTGGTACATTGCGTCATTGTGTTACGGTATAGTCGGTAACGAAACGACAAGTTTTACAGGAAATGGCCAATCAAATCAAACATGGTATGGACAAGCGCATGTTGTCGTGACGTCAGGTGGCTGGTCGATGAGATTCCGATAGTACCGGCATTTTTATTACCTTTCGCCATTGTCATTTTTGCAGACTTTGTAGTAATAATAATTACAACGTATTTATTCATAAGATTAATAACAAATTAATATTTGACACATGTCAAACTGTGGCTGTCAAAACCAGAGTAGTAACCTAGATTACCTAGATACGGTGATCCTATGCAAAAGCGAACATACGTTCTTGGCCAACATGTACACTATGCGTTTTGCTTTCCATCTTCTTTTACAGCATGGGAACGCAGGAGTAAGATTTTGTAGGTCTTTGTTTAAACCTAGCAATTTACGATTTTGCGCAGTAAACCCTTAAATTCTGCTAGCGCAAGTCGGTTCTTAATTCATACAATCGCCGGTGCTTGTGTGTTTGTTAGTTTGTTCTAAGAGATTTCTTAGGTTATAAGATTTATATCACGGTTATAAGTTTAAATTGCATAGAATTTCTACAAATGGGCTACAGAGTGTGTGTTGTATGCAAAGAAAGATCTAATAATTCTTTTGTTTCGCAAAAATATTACAAAGATTTTTAATAATCCCGACATGAACAATCATTGCATTTCTCAGGGATTACTAGATAACAACAAAATACAATTGATGAAGGCAATAGCGCAAATGTATTTAAAAGTCCGCTTGCATCACGAAGCAAAACTGGTAAATTTTGCTTCAAAACAGGCGAGAATAAGAAGTAAATTAGTAAAATACATTTTATTTAATAATGAGTAACTAAGATTACATTAAATCACCAATATTTAATAATAATGTTAATAAATTTATACCACAGCTGTACGTCTTTTTTCTTTTTCGTTTTAAGCTCTCAACATTGTGCATGCAAATAAATACAATACGATTCTCTATTTATGTTAGAAACGTTCGTGGCAACAAAAACTTTTGACTATAAGAAAATTGTATTATGTCATTTTTCAAGAGTTTCGCCGGTGTGAATGATAAAGAAAAAGTACGAAAAAAGGGAAGTCGACAGTCAAATTTATTCCAACGATCTTGTCGGTGTAATATTTTAATCTTAACATTACAAATCATTTTGGAGATTGCTTAGAAACTTTTCGTTTGCCACTTGTTAAAAAACTCGAGTTATGATTCTCTTTTATACCATTTTAAATCAGTGCGCCAAATTATCAACCAATGTTAACAGTCGCTAGAATTAGAAGAAGATAACACTAGTATGTAGTGCACATTACAACGAGTAAGAGAAAGACAGACAACTAAAAGTATGTCGACACTATTTTCATACATGTTCTTCCACACTTTGCTGCCCATAGCCATATCTAGATTACTAAGAAATCTCTGGTCAAAACTGGTCTCTTAAAGGGCGTTCATTCCACGTGACGTCACGCAGTTGATGCGCATAAAAAGCTCGATTTAGTTCACGGGATATCCATACCATGTTTACTTGTATCATGAATCAAATCAAAATAAAGCTAGTGGTTTTCAAGAAGTGGCTTAGTTCTGAATTATTATATTTCTTTCATTACAAATAATAATTTAATGATTTATATGAAAAAAGTAAGGAGCGTTAATTAGTTTTATTTACTCACAAGGTTCGGTATGAGTTCTATTTTAGATGTACGCGCCAAAACCTCGATTTTTATTTTTATTAAATAGGACACTCCTGCACATGTGGTTTATGAATCCGTGCTGAGGATTTGAGGATTATGGTGTTCTGAGAATGTGAGTATTATGGTGTTCAGGAAATTTGAGGATTATGGTGTTCTGAGGATTTTAGGACTATGGTGTTTTGAGGATTTTAGGATTATGCTGTTCGGAGGATTTTAGGATTACGGTGTTTTGAGGATTTAAGGATTATGGTCTTTTGAAGATTTGAGGATTATGATGTTCAGAGGATTTGAGGATTATGGTGATCTGAGAATCTGAGGATATTGATGTTTTGAGGATTTGGGAACTATAGTCGGGTCGGGTCGGGTCGGGTCGGATTGGGTAACATCCATAATTATATGAGCATCCTTTTTATCCTTTTCGATCCTTTTTGTCCTTTTTGATCTTTTTTGTCCTTTTAGTCTTTATTGATCCTTTTTTGATCATTTTTTATTTTTTTTTATCTTTTTATCCTTTTTATCCGTTTTATTCTTTTTATCATTTTTATCCTTTTCATCCTTTTTATCCTTTTCATCCTTTTCATCCTTTTCATCCTTTTCATCCTTTTCATCCTTTTCATCCTTTTCATCCTTTTCATCCTGATCATCCTGTTCATCCTCTTCATCCTGTTCATCTTTTTCATCCTTTTTCATCCTATGTTATCCTTTTTTATCATTTTTTATCCTTTTTGATCCTTTTTGAAATTTTTTAATACTTTTTGATACTTTTTGATACTTTCTGATAATTTTTGATACCTTTTGAACCTTTTCGTCCTTTTCGTCCTTTTCGTAATTCTTCATCCTGTTTCTTTTTTCGTCCTTTTCGTCTTTTTCACCCTTTGCATCCCTTTCATCGTTTTTATCCTTTTTGTCTTTTTTATCCTTTTTATCCTCTTTATCCGTTTTAACCTTTTTATGCTTTTTACCCTTTTTATCCTTTTTATCCTCTTTATATTATTTATCCTTTTTATCCCTTTTTATCACTTTTTGTCATTTTTATCCTTTTTGTCATTTTTCTCCTTTTTGATCCTTTTTGCACTTTGCTTCCTTTGCGTCCTTTGCGTCTCTTGCGTGCTTTTTATCCCTTTTATCCTTTTGATCCTTTTTCGCCCTTTTCGTCCTTTTTCGTTCTTTTTCGTCCATTTCGTCCTTTTCGCCCATTTCGTCCTTTTCGTCCATTTCGTCCTTTTCGTCCTGTTCGTCCTTTTTCGTTCTTTTTCGTCCATTTCGTCCTTTTTCATCTATCTCGTCCTTTTCGCCCTTTTTGTCCTTTTTTGTCCTTTTCGCCCTTTTCGTTTTTTCGTCCTTTTCGTATTTTTTCCTCCTTGTCATTCTTTTCGTCTTTTTCCATTCTTCTCGTCTATTTCGTCCTTCTGGTCCTTTTTCGTCCTTATTCGTCCTTTTCGTCCTTTGTCGTCCTTTTCGCCCTTTTCGTCGTTTTTCGTCCTCTTCGTCCTTTTTCGTCCTCTTTCGTCCGTTTTCGTGGTGTATCGTCCTTTTTCGTCCTTTTTGTCCTCTTCGTTCTTTTTCGTTTATTTCGTCCTTTGTCGTCCTTTTTTGTCCTTTTCGTCGTTTTTCGTCCTCTTCATCCTTTTTCGTCCTCTTTCGTCCTCTTTCGTCCTTTCTCGTCCTATTTCGTCCTCTTTCGTTCTTGTTCGCACTATTTCGTCCTCTTGTCTTTTTTCGTCCTTTTTCGTCGATTTCGTCCTTTTCGTAATTTTTCATCACATTTCGTCCTTTTTCGTCCTTTTGGTCTTTTTTCGTCCTTTTTGGTCCTTTTCGTCCTTTTTCGTCATCTTTCGGTTTTTTTTGTCCTCTTTCGTTCTTTTACGTCCTTTTTCGTCCTACTTCGTCCTCTTTCGTCCTTCTTCGTCCATTTTGTCCTTTTTCATCCTGTTTCGTCCATTTTGTCCTTTTTCGTCCTTTTCGAAAATATTTATCTTTTTCGTCCTTCTTTGTCCTTTTTCGTCCTTGTCGTCCTGTTTCGCCCTTCTTCGTCCTTTTCGTCCTTTTTCGTCCTTTGTCGTCCTTTTTCGTCCTTTTTCGTCCTTTTCGTCGTTTTTCGTGCTTGTCGTCCTTTTTCGTCCTCTTTCGTCCTTTTCCGTCCTCTTTCATCTTTTATCGTCCTTTCTCGTCCTTTCTCGTCCTATTTCGTCCTCATTCGTCCTTTTTCGTCTATTTCGTAATTTTCGTAATTTTTCATCCTTATCGTCCTTCTTCGTCCTTTTCGTCCTTTTTCATCCTATTTCATTCATTTTGTCCTTTTTCGTCCTTTTCGTAATTATTCATTCTTTTCGTCCTTCGTCCTTTTCGTCCTTTTTCATCCTTTACGTATTTTTTCGTCCTTTTCGTCCTTCTACGTCCTTTCCGTCCTATTCAATCCCATTTTGGCCTTTTTGTCCTTTTTCGTGCTTTTCGTCTATTTCGTCCTTCTGGTCCTTTTTTGTCCTTTTCGTAATTTTTCATCCTTATCGTCCTTCTTCGTCCTTTTTCATCCTATTTCGTCCATTTTGTCCTTTTCGTAATTATTTATCTTTTTCGTTCTTCTTCGTCCATTTTCGTCTTTTTCGTCCTTTTTCATCATATTTCGTCCTTTTTGTCCTCTTTAGTTCTTTTTCGTCCTTTCTCGTCCTATTTCGTCATTTCGTTCTTTTTCGTCCTTTTCGTCCTTTCTCGTCCTTTTTAGTCCTTTTCGACTTCATCGTTCTTTTTCGTCTTATTTCGTCTTTTTTGTCCTTTTTCGTCTTATTTCGTCCTTTTTGTCCTTTTCGTCCTTTTGGCCCTTTTTCGTCCTTTTCGTCCTTTTTCGTCCTATTTCATCCTTTTTCGTCCTTTCTCGTCCTATTTCGTCCTCTTTCGTCCTTTTCGTAATTTTGATCCTTGTCGTCCTTTTTCCTCCCTTTCGTCCTTTTTCATCCTATTTCGTCCTTTTTCGTCCTTCTTCGTCCTTTTTCTTCCTTGTTGGTCCTTTTTCGTCCTTCGTCCTTTTGGTCCTTTTTCGTCCTTTTTCATCCTACTTCGTCGTTTTTGTCCTTTTTCGTCCTTTTTTTCCTTTTTCGTCTTTTTCGTCCTTTTCGTAATTTTTCATCCTTTTCGTCCTTCTTCGTTCTTTTTCATCCTATTTCGTCCATTTTGTCCTTTTCGTAATTATTTATCTTTTTCGTTCTTCTTGGTCCATTTTCGTCCTTTTCGTCGTTTTTCGTCCTCTGTCGTCCTTTTCCGTCCCCTTTCGTCCTTTGTCGTCCTTTCTCGTCCTATTTCATCCTCTTTCGTCCTTTTTCGTCCTTTTTCGTCTATTTCGTCCTTTTCGTATTTTTCATCCTTTTCGTCCTTCTTCGTCCTTTTTGTCCTTTTTCATCCTGCTTCGTCCATTTTGTCCTTTTTCGTCCTTTTCGTAAATATTTATCTTTTTCGTCCTTCGTTGTCCTTTTTCGTCCATTTTATCCATTTCGTTCTTTTTCGCCCTTTTCGTCCTTTGCGACATTTTCGTCCTTTTTCGTCCTTTTCGTCTTTTTTCGTTCTCTTTGTCCTTTTCGTTCTTTGCGTCCTTTTGATCCTATTTCGTCCTTTTCTTCCTTTGTGTCTTTTTTATCCTTTTTATACTTTTTGCCTTGTTGTCCGTGATTTGAGGATTATGGTGTTTTGAGGGTTTGAGGATTATGGTGTTCTGAGAATTTAAGGATTATACTTTTGTGCTTTTTATGTGACAAGTCCCAACAACTAAGGTTACTAGATATGTATATCTATCTAAATCCCATTTTCACGGGGAAAATTCCCTCAAACTTTTTAGAATGTGGAGAGAGAGAGAGAAGATAGGAAATGTTGACAAATATGGCAAAAATTACTTTAAAAATATGAATAGATTTTTTGCCTGTTTTAGAGCTCAATCGAGTTGTCAAATGGACGAAAGACGTCAAATTAATTTCAATTTCGACTAGTAAGTACAAATTTTACTGTGTCAAAACGCAATTATCAAACTACTCGACCACAAAAGTTTTTTTTGGTACATATTTGTTTTTTGTGTTCGTTCTGTTCTCTGGCTCTCCTCTTATTAATCTGGTACTATTTTGAGGTATCCGTAAAAGTCAAGCACTTGACAGTAAAGATTCAGAGTTGAAATTTTTACTGGATGTAATTTGAGTCATATTTTGTCGATTTTATTAAAAGTTAGTTATGCTTTAAATTAAACGTTATTTCTTTATTTCATAACCAAGTTAAAGGAGCTTTTAAATTAAAGTTGGATTTTTACCATGGGAACACATTGTTGAGACAATGGTTTAAAGCTAATACAATAAAAAAAAAAGTGGAAATGGTCACTAATGCACACATTTAATCAAAATAAGGGCTATTTTTACCACAAAATTCATCTCTAGGTTTTCATCCTAAAAAAAGTTAACCTGTATAGACAAAAGTAGAAATCCTCATTTTGAATACCATCATTTTCTAAATTTTAGTTCTCAGTACTTACACATCTTTAAAGATGATCAATTCTCAAGGCAATAAATCTTCAAGCTGCCTTAATACTAATAAGCCATACAATTATCTGTTCTGTAAAACCCTTATGTTTTAAATACCGTATTTCACGATTCCTGTATATTACATTAAATTCGTAATGTTGTCGGGGTATTCTTAAGTCACTTGACATAAACTTAGTAAAACTTTTACGACTTAAGCGGCTTAAGCCAAACCACCCTTATAAATCAAACTTTCTATTCTAAGCTGCGACAAACAAATTTCAGGTAGAGAGTAGACCGACGGATGACCAGTTTTACCAGGAATATCAGTTCCGCTACCGGGCACCTTACTGTGGCTCGCCGAGTCCGTCAAACGTCAACCAGTCCCAGCCAGTCAAACGTCATTTCATGGTCGTTTCCCAGCTTTCCACAACAAACCAATATGTGCGTATTTCCCCGTAAATGAATGAAAACGGCCGCCTCGCTCCATGTGAAACCTCTCTCGAAGGCAACGTGCGTTTTTCGCGGTAGCACCCGCTCCCCCGCCTCACCGTACCGATTTTCTCGACCCTAACCTCACTTCGCCCGACTCGTGAAAATCGACAAAGATGAGCCGCCGACCCCCAGGCCCCGTGCCCAACCGCTGGATGCACTGCCCCCGCAAAGCCGCCGACCTCATCATGGGCCACTTCATGGCGTTCAAGACTCCGCTGAGCGAAGACTACGACAGTGTGGTGCCCCCAGAATGCAGATTCCCCCCGCGGATGCTGTTCGACTTGTGCAGGACTAAGAAGGTTAGTCAGGGGGTAGTCTTAACCGAGTTAATACGTGGATGTGAAATTCGTCGTCTTTAGTGTTTCAAGTCGGAAAATGGGGCTGTATTGGTGTTTTTGTAGATTAAATTCGGCTTGTGGGTGGACTTGACAAACACGACAAGGTTCTACGATCGGAGCGAAGTGGATACCGATGGATGTAAGTATATAAAGTTGCAGTGCCGGGGTCACGGGGAGACGCCCTCCAGGGATCAAACAAACACGTTTATCCAATTGGTGCATAATTTTATCACACACCATCCATTAGAGAAAGTTGCGGTGCATTGCACTCACGGATTTAACAGAACGGGATTTTTGATTGTCTCGTATTTGGTGGAGAAAATGGACATGGAGTTGGAGTTGGCGATCGAGACCTTCGCGAAGATGAGGTAAAACCCTAACTTTAACCCACGTCGGAACTAACAATTCTGGTTGCAGGCCTCCGGGAATTTATAAATCCGACTATCTGACAGAGTTGTATAGTCGATACGACGACGTCGCCGACACTCCCCCAGCCCCGAATTTACCCGATTGGTGCTTCGAGAACAAAGAAGGCGAATCTCCGCAGCAGAATAGCTACGAAGAACCCGCTTCCTCGTCAAAGTACGAAAACCCAATTTAAATTTCGTGTTTAACTATTTTTTTTTTTTTTTTTTAAGTTACGGGTCATCCAGGAGAGGTTCGAAGAAGGCGGCCTTCATGGAGGGGGTCCCGGGCGTGACCTTCTTCTCCGAGCAACCCAAGTCCTTCCACGTCCAGAAAAAGGTGCAGATTATGTGCGAATGGAAGAAGAAGAATTTTCCTGGGTGCCAGCCCGTGTCCATGGACATCCACAATATCACCCTTTTGCACCAGAAGCCGTACAGAGTGTCGTGGAAGGCCGACGGGATGCGCTACATGATGCTCATAGATGGCGCTGACGAAGTTTACTTTTTTGACCGGGACCATAACCCGTTCAAGGTCCGGGGTTTGACGTTTCCGCACCGGAAGGATCTGCGGAGGCACCTGAAGGATACTCTTCTAGACGGGGAGATGGTGATTGACAAGGTCAACGGCGAAGACATCCCCCGTTTTCTAGTTTATGATATAGTGAAGTTCGAGGGGCAAGACGTCGGTAAAATGCCCTTCCACCCCACACGTCTGCACTGCATAGAAAATGAGATCATTAAACCGAGGTAATAATAATAATAATAATAATAACAAATGTGTAAATTATGACATAATTCACGATCTGTTTGGACGTGAGTAGGCCGCGATTTTTTTTTTATGTTGGCTAACATGACTGACGTGGTTTTTTTAATGTCAAGTCTGCGTCTGACTTATCTTTCAGGAATCGTGTCGTTCTTGTTTCTTCCCGATATATTGAAACATATATAGGCAATACCAGTAACAGAGTAAGAAATTAAATGACAGCTTATAAATGAGTTTTGACACCGTTTAATTTTTTGTGTTGAAAATTTCCTGAACTGAAATATTGAACAATTGAAAAATGAAAAATCTGATAATTTAAAAATCAAAATTAAAAATTGATATTTGTAAAAATCGAAAAATTGCAAAACTATAAAATTGAAAAATTAATAACTTGAAAATCGAAATTTTGAAAAATAAAAAATCAAAAAATTGGAAAATTGAAACAATGGAATTAGAACGATTGAAAAATCAAAACTGAATAAACGAAAGAGCGAAAATTGTAAACTCGGAAAATTAATTAAACTGTAGAAATGAAAAATTCCAAAGTATTAAATTAGAAAATCGATCAATTCAAAACTGAAAAATCGAGAAATTGGAAACTCTGATGTAAAAATCGAAAATTGAAAAGCTGATTCATGAAGAAAGAAATGGATAATTGAGGAATCCAAAACACTGCAAAATTGCAAAACCGAGAATTCAAAAAGGTGCAAAATGTTGAATTTGCAAAATCAAAAAATTCTAAAATTGGAAATTGAAATTATGAAATGTTGAGACTCAGAAAATCTCTAAAAATGAAAAATTGCAAAATAATAAAATTGAATAATTGAGTAAAATTAAAACATCACTAAGTTGAAAAATTAAAATTTTGATTTTGGAAAATCTGATAACTGAAAAACGGATTCATTAAAAACTGGACAAGTGACAAATAGAAAAATTGTAAAAATATAAAACTCAAAATTAAAAAAAATGCACAATTACAAAATTGAAAAATTGTATAATTGTAAAATCGAAAAATTATTAAACTGTAAAATATAAAACTGAAAATCAAATAATTTTAAAATCGAAAAATTGAAAAATCAATAATTGTAAAATTGGAAATTTACAAAAGTTAAAAATCGAAAAATGTCGAAATTATGAAAAATTAAAAAATCATAAGGAATTGAAGAAACGAAAACTTTTCAAAACGAAAAATTGTAAAATGGAAAATTGAGAAATTGATTAATTAAAAATCGAATAATTAACACATGCGAAAATTGTAAAAATGCAAAATTGAAAAATTAGAAAATCGCATACTTTTAAGAACGAAAAATTGTAAAAGTATCAAACTGAAAATCGAAAAATTGCAAAGTATGAAACTAAAAAATAAAAAACTTGGAAAACTGAAAATCAAAATTTTGGAAAATTTAAAATCAAAAAAATTATTGAAAAAACGAAAACTTTCGAAAACAAAAAATTATAAAAGTGAAAATTGGATAATTAAAAATTGAATAATTAACACACAGGAAAGTTGTAAAACTGAAAAATCAAAAAAGTGTAAAATTGAAAAATTGGAAAATCGAATTCCTCTAAAAACGAAAGGTTTTAAAGTAATTAATTTGGAATATGAAAAAAAGTTATTAAATAAAAAAATCGAACAATTCAAAACTGAAAAATCCTATAATTTTAAAATTCAAGACTTGAAAAACAATTGTAAAATCGAAAAAATCGCGAAATTATGCAATTGCAAACTCAAAAACTCTTGGAATTGGAAATGAAACTTTGAAATATTGAAAATCAAAAAATTAGAAAATCGAAACAATGAAATTCAGATATCTTTAAAAACGGAAAATTGTAAAATAATGAAAAATTAAACTGAAATATTGAACAATTGAAAAATGAAAAATCCGATAATTTAAAAATCAAAATTGAAAATGGATTAATTGAGAAATCGAAAAAAATGTAACAATATAAAACTGAAAAAAAAATTGCAAAATTAGTAAATTGAAACATTGGATGTTTGTAAAAATCGAAAAATTGAAATCTATAAAATTGAAAGAAAATCGAAATCTTGAAAAATTAAAAATCAAAAAATTGGAAAATTGAAACAATGGAATTCGAACAATTGTAAAATCAAAACTGATTAAACGAAAGAGCGAAAAATTTAAAAAATGAAGAATTATAAAATTGAGAATTGAACAATTGAATCATTGAAAACCAGAGACTTTAATACATAGACTGGCTGTGTCAGGAAAAACGTGAAGTTTTTCGACCGCCATATTGCTTATAACCGTAAGTGCGCGAAATTTGAATTTTCCGGTCACAAAATGCAATTTAAAATGTTAAATAAAAAAGACAACAAATTGTAATTATTTATTTAGCATAATAATATCCATATGTATATGTAAATTCCTTTAAAAATATTAATGTCCTTGAAACAAAATTAATTTCGTGAATTTTTGTCTTAAAGAGATAGCTTTTTCACGCTCAGTACTTAAGCGGCACTCATAACCTATTCCGAGAGTCAAATAATTTCTCAAAATTAATTTAAGCAATAAATGAAAATAAGAATTATTTACGTCCAACTAATCCATACTAAACAATGTTCATTATGTAGAAAAAAAAATGTATGGTCCCCACTTTGCAAAGTTAAGGCAAACATTTTAGTTACCAAATCATTTTTAATGGCCATATTTACAAACAATCTCGTAAGTCCCGACACACAACCACTTTTATTTCGAGGTCTAGAAACGTTCTGTGCTAGAAACTACTGCTGCTAACCACCACAACCTCACTTAATTTGACATAAAAGTTATAGCAATGGCGTCCATACTACCATGCGCCGTGGCTTCACCGAAATGCATTAGAAATGTTACTAACAGCCAGTCTATATATTTAAAGTCTCTGTTGAAAACCAAAAGTTGTAAAAAGATAAAACTGAAAAATGAAAAAAATTTCAAAACTACAGAATTGAAAAATAGGATATTTTTGTAACATCGAAAAATTACGAAAATTAAAAATCTAAAAATTGCAAAACTATAAAGCTGAAAAACAAAAAAAAAACAAAAATTGTCGTAATTAAATTGAAGTATAAAAAAATTGAAAAATTGGATAATTGCAGATTCGGAAAATTAAAATGAAAAATTGCAAAGTATTAAATTAGAAAATCGATCAATTCAAAATTGAAAAATCGAGAAATTGGAAAATCTGATGTGAAAATCGAAAATTGAAAAGCTGATTCATGAAGAAAGAAATGGATAATTGAGAAATCCAAAAAATTGCAAAATTGCTAAACCGGGAATTCAAAAAGGTGTAAAATGTCGAATTTGCAAAACCAAAAAATTCTAAAATTGGAAATTGAAATTTTGAAATGTTGAAAATGAAAAATTGCAAAATAATAAAATTGAATAATTGAGTAACGGTAAAATTGAAACATCACTTAGTTGAAAAATCAAGAAATTAAAATTTTGATAACTATAAAATTAAAAATTGACAAATTCAAAAATCAAGATTTTGGAAAATCTGATAACTGAAAAATTGATTCATTAAAAACCGGACAAATAGAAAAATTGTAAAAATATAAAACTCAAAAATAAAAAAATTGCACAATTAGAAAATTTCAAAATCGAAAAATTGAAAAATCAATAATTGTAAAATTGAAAATTTACAAAAGTTAAAAATCGAAAAATGTCCAAATTATGAAAAATTAAAAAATCATAAAGAATTGAAGAACGAAAATTAATCGAAACGAAAAATTATAAAATGGAAAATTGAGAAATTGATTAATTAAAAATCGATTAATTAACACAAGCGAAAATTGTAAAAATGTAAAATTGAATAATCAAAAAAGTGTAAAATTGAAAAATTAGAAAATCGGATATTTTAAGAACGAAAAATTGTAAAATAAAACTCAAAAATCAAAAAATTTCAAAACTACAAAATTGAAAAATTATTAAATTGTAAATTTGAAAAATTGCAAAAATATAAAACTGAAAATCGAATAATTTAAAATCGAAAAATTGCAAAAGTATGAAACTGAAAAATAATTGAAAGTCAAAATTTTGGAAAATTTAAAATCAAAAAAATTATTGAAAAAACGAAAACTTTTGAAAACAAAAAATTATAAAAGTGAAAATTGAGAGATTGGTTAATTAATAATTGAATAATTAAAAAACACGAAAATCAAAAAAGTGTAAAATTGAGAAATTGGAAAATCGAATTCCTGTAAAAACGAATAATTTTAAAGTAATTAATTTGGAATATAAAAAAATAAAAAATTATTAAATTAAAAAATCGAACAATTCAAAACTGAAAAATCCTATAATTTTAAAATTCAAGAATTGAAAAATTGGACAATTGTAAAATCGAAAAGTCATTAAATTTGAAAAATTGAAAATTCTGATAACTGTATAATCGAAAAATTGCGAAATTATGAAATTGAAAAATTAAAAACTTGGAAAACTGAAAATCGAAATTTTGGAAAATTAAAAATTGGAAAATCGAGACAATTAAATTCGGATGAATGAAAAATTGAGTAATTAAAGAAACGAAAAATATGAAGAACAAAGAAATATAAAATTGAAAGTTGAGAAAATAATTAAAAACCGAATAATTGACCCATCTGATAATTATTTTAAAAATTTTAAATTTAAAAATCGAAACTGTAAAATCGAAAAATTGAAAAAACGGATACCTTTAAAAACGCAAAAAGTTTAAATTGAAATTTTAAATAATTAAAACACAATAAATTGGATAATCGTAAACTCGAAAATTTATTAAACTGAAAAAATTAAAAATTACAAAATTAGTAAATTAAAAAATCGAATTCTAGAATGGAAATTCGAGTAATTGGAAAATCTGATACTTGAAAAATCAAAAATTGAAAAACGGATTCATTAAAAAGTAGACAATTCAGAAATTGAAAAATTGTAATAATATAAAATTGAAAAAGTGAAAAATTGCAAAATTATGAAATTGCAAACTCAAAAACTCTTGGAAAATTGGAAATGAAATTTTGAAATATTGAAAATCAAAAAATTAAAAATCGAAACAATGAAATTCGGATATCTTTAAAAACGGAAAAAAAATTGCGAAATTATGAAAGTGTTAAAAATTTGTAAGACTTGAAAATCGAAATTTTGGAAAATTAAAAATCAAAAATGGAGTAGGTAATTGAAAAAACGACAATTTTAAAAAGAAAGAATTATAAAATTGAAAATTTGAGAAATTAACTCATGTTCATTGTAAAAATGGAAAATTGAAAAGTCAAAAGTGTAAACTCGAAAAATTGGAAAATTGGATACCTTTAAAAACGAAAAATGCTTAATTAAATTGCAATTATGAATAATTAAAAATTAAGAAAACTGGATAATCGTAAACTGGAATATTTATTAAACTGTAAAAAATCGAACAATTTAAAACTGAAAAATCGAGAAATCGAAAAATTGTATTAATATAAAACTGAAAAATCAATAAATTATTAAACTTTAAAAAATAAAAATTGCAAAAAATAATTGAGTAACGGTAAAATTGAAACATTATCAAGTTGAAAAATGAAAAAACTGAAAAATCTGATAACTGAAAAGTCGACAAATTAAAAAATTGAGAAATTGGAAAATCTGGTAAGTGAAAAATTGATTCATTAAAAACCGGATAATTGAGAAATCGTAAAAATATGAAACTCAAAAATCAAAAAATTGCATAATTGCAAAATTAAAAAAATTAGATAATTGTGAAATTGAAAATCGAATAATTTTAAATTCGAAAAATTAAAAAATCAGATAATTGTAAACTCAAAAATTTATTAAACTGTAAATATGAAAAATCGAGGAATTGGAAAATTTGATACTTCAAAAATTAAAAAGTTGCAAAATTTCAATACTGAAAAATAGCATAATTTTAAATTGAAAAATTGAAAAATCAGGGAATTCTAAAATCGAAAAAGTGCAAAATTGTGAAATTGAAAAATTAAAAATTCCTGGAAAATTCGTAATCGAAAAATTTAATTATTAAAAATCAAAGAATAGGAAAATCGGGACAATGAAACTTTTAAAAACGGATAGTTGTAAAATAATTAAACTGAAAACTAAAAAAATGAAATTTTGAACAATTAAAAATTAAAAAAAAATCAAGATTGGTAGAATTACAAAACTGAAAAATTGGACGGTTGTATAATAATCGAAAAATTATTAAACTGTGAAAATTAAAAATCAAATTCGAAATATCGAATAATGGTCAATTGGAAAAATTATAAAATCGTGAAATTAAACATTATTAAGTTGAAAAATCTAAAAATTTTGATTTTACAATATCAATATCAAACACTAGAAAAATGAAAGTTTTACAAGTTTAACAACAATCGGTCCGATAGTTTTGGAATTTGTTTGTTTAATAAAAATTAATACAGACGACAGACTCTAGTGGTCATGAAACGTTGAGAAAACATGAAAGTAGCAATTCCCCCGATGGACTCAATTAGTACCTCCTCAGGAAGTAAAACGTAGAAAATATATTATTACGTGTTAAAATATCACTACAATCTTTCAGGTACATGGCCATGGAGAACGGTCTCATCAACAAGACCTCCGAGCCGTTCAGCGTGCGCAAGAAGGACTTCTGGGAGATAACGCAAGCCACCAGCTTGCTGGGGGAAAAATTCGCTCGAACTTTATCCCACGAACCCGACGGCTTGATCTTCCAGCCGGCGAAGGAGCCCTACGTGGCCGGTCGCTGCGACGAGGTGCTCAAATGGAAGCCTCTGGACATGAATTCGGTCGACTTTAGGCTAAAAATCGTGAAAGAGGAGGGCGAAGGGTAACTGAAGGCGTGTTTTTGACCAGCGTTAACGCTATGTTCTAGGATCGTCTCCCGGAAGGTGGGATTCCTGTACGTGGGGCAGTTGGACGCGCCCTTCGCGAAAATGAAGTACACCAAGGCGATGAAGGACTTGGATAATAAGATAATCGAGTGCAAGTTCGAGGAGAACCAGTGGAAGTTTATGAGAGAGAGGACTGATAAGTCGTATCCGAATAGTTTTAATACTGCCAAAGGTATGGGGGTGAGTGGTTTGTGGGGCGAAGGTGAATTGAGGTTGTTGTTTTAGCTGTTTGCGGGAGTATTCAGAATCCGATTACTAAGGAGAAACTGCTGGATTATATCGAGAGGTATAGGTTTGACGACGATAGTGAGATGATGCCGCCACCTGGAAAGAGGATAAGGAGATGATTGCTTGGTTTTTTTAAATATGAAATGTTGGTTTATTTGCGTAAATATTTTTTTATGATATACAAGAGATGATAGGTGGATCATATCGAGCTCACTCAGTTTTTAAACTTGGTAATTGCTGTTATAATTTTAATTTATTTATAAGAATAAATTAATAATGAAAATTGTGTTTTCTTGTGTGGTATGTACGAATTGAGTTTAATGGTTATTTTGTAAATTAAAAAAATATTGAAAAAAATCATTACGAAAATTTTTTGTCTTAAAAATAGTTCTGAATACAGAAGGAATGTAAACGTTTTGGTTTATCTTCGATTCTTCAATAATATCGTCGTTAAATGCGTAACCATTGGGATGTAATCATATTCACAAAATACGGGTATTTTTACAGGTGGTGTTTTGTTGGTTGCCTATTTATAAATATAAAAAATAAGTAGAAATTATCTTTGTGTTAAGAATTTGGTCATCACCTCAGTTCATTATTTTAAATTTGCTAAATTCTGTTATAGTTTTAATTTATTTGGGTGGAGAAAGGTTTCCGCACGTCCGTCATCCACAAAGGAAGAATATAACTGTGTTTGTTGGGTTGCATAAAAACCACAAAGGGAATGATGTTTACATGTTGATTTAACCATGTTTAACAAAACTTACGAAACTGATGTAATTACATTCGACTGTATTTTTATTTCAATAAACACACCCAGCGTTTTGTTAGCTTTGCAGTTGAAATCTAGGGATTTTTTCGGAGAGAGTTGGACGCTTTTATATTTTACAATGTGGCACCACTGCTTGGTTTTCACTCGAGTTTGTCGTCGTCGTATCTGATTGATATATAAGCGTTTGTCTATTTCATGTATAAAATATTAAAGATTAGTGACCATCTGGGGTACTTCAGCTGATTGCATCCCGTTTGTCCATTTAGTTGTCAAAATTGGTAAGTAAATCAATAATTTAATGTGTAACTTCTGTGATTTTATCATTTTATTGGGACAAATATTTAGTGCTATATGACATAGTGATAGTGTGCTACGTAATAAATAATTTGCTGGGTTGGTCAGTGATAACTGATAATATTGACAGCTGACACGTAATACATGCATACAATTATACATGCAACAGTGTTTTACAAAAATATTGTTTCCTTAAAAAGTTTTGGGTCGCAAACACGGATTGCTAAAAAAAGCAATAAAATAAAATCAGTACATATTATCGAAAAATGAAAAAAACACGTTTAGATCAATAGATAGTAGATAGCGAAGATAATCTGCGTTCACCCATTGTGTTCCTTAAAAAAATATATTTACAGTACATTATCGACGGGAATACATTACATCTGAAGAATGTCACGTAGACATTTGTTTGATTTGAATGAGTTTATCGCCCCAAAACAGATGACTGAAATTATTCATAAGCCTCCATTGAACAAAATATTCTGAATGCTATTATTATAATTCTTACCTTATCATTATTTTATCGTTATAAAGACGATAAGATTTTCCAAAAATGGGTCGGCTCGTTCTTAATCTGATCAATAATGAATTGACTGATTCATTAATTTGCGAAAGAATTTATTCGGCAAAATTTTGACATGTCGTAATCAATTTTTTGGGGTTGATAAACAGACACATTTTCATTAAAAAGTTACCATGCTTACAATAACTTCAAAACGTCAAGATTTCAAAGTATTCAGTTTTACAATTCTTGATTTAATCAATAAAATAAATTGACTCAGTCATTAATTTTTTTCACACACCCCGTATAAGCAAATCTAAAAAATATTTATGCAGTGATAAATCGCAATTATGGACTGATCATACGTTGCACAATGCACATTTAGGATGGCATTTTTTCGGAAAAATGTAAATAATATAAAATATAATAAATAATAAAAACTGATCATGCTTATCATAACTGTAAACCGTCTGCAAGATTTCAAAACATTCGGTTTTGCAGATTCCAAATTAAATGTCAAAATGTTGTTTCCTAATTTGGATTTTTTTCCAAAAATCTGGACGTTTCGGGTAAAATTTCATGTCGGAGTCATAAGCTACAAGTGTAAGACTATGTTATTTGATACAATTTAAAACCCAATTACTATGTACAATTTTGAAGTGACGTCATCACATTAGTGGTGGGGATTATTAGACAAATTTTGGTTAGCGTTTTACCATCTACATGATATACCTAATATAAGTAGAAAATAGACAACAATCGGCCCAGTACTTTCGGAGATTATCTGTGTAATAAAAATCCGGGACGGCAGACAGACGGACAGACGGACAGACAAAAACAAGGAGAAACCTTCTCAGGGGCTCCAAGTGTCTTAAAACATTCTGAGGGGCACAATTTTTTTTTAATGTGAAACCTTCTCGGGGGCCCAACTGTCTTTTTTAAAAATTGTAAAACCTTCTCGGGGGCCCCAAATATCTTTTCTTTAATGTGAAACCTTCTCGGAGCTGTCAACTGTCTTTTTTAAAAATGTACAACCTTCTCGGGGGTCCCAACTGTCTTTTTATAGTAGTATTAATTTATTATTTGCCTTGCAGGCTTAATAATATTCCCAGTAGGGGTACAAATTAACTTAATCTACCTCAGATAAATCCATAACAATAAAAATAAATAAAATAAAATAAAATAAAAATTCGAGTGTTATATAACAAATATTCTATTCTTTCTGCTTGCCCACCCCTTGCCATAGTTCCCTTATCTTCCATACTTCTTTCATCCAGTCCAGTCCTCTTCCATCCTCGTTTAGCACTTCTTCCCTACTTTCCTCCGATTCTCTCAATCCTTCACATCCTTCCAGCATATGCTTTATTGTTTCTCCCTCTCTCCAACATATCCTACACCTTCTGTCATTTTCATCCATCCAAAAATTATTCTCTTTCTCTTCATTTCCACACCTAAATCTCGCCATCATTCTTTTCTCCTTTATACTCTCTCTCTGTGTACTTTGGTACTTCATCCTTTACTATTTTTCTATAGTCTGCATTATATCTAGACTCCGATATTCTCGATCTACGTTCTCGCTTATCTATATCCTTATCTCTTACACTCAGCTCTTCTTTTATACTCCTTCCCATTTCTCTCATTCTCTCTATTTCTTCACATGCATATCCCTTTCCTTCATAATACTTGTCCCTTTCGTTCCAAACATGTTTTCCCCCTTCCTTTCTTATTTCTTTCCAACATTCTTGCAATATCTTGCAATTCACCTCTCTCACTGAACTTCTCTTCAAATCCAAGCGCCCTTTTACCCGCTTCCACTCTCATTTTCTCCCTTTTTGTTTCTTCTCTCACTATATACCCCGGCGTACACTTTTCCAATCCCAATGTCCATTTCAAGTATTTTTCTTGCACTCTCTCTATTTCTCCATATTCCCTCCATCCCCAAATCTCAGCTCCGTACATGAATACATTTTTGACCAAACTATCAAACATCATTATTCTTCTCTTATAATCATGTCCAAATTTTCTCTCTCCTATTCCCCATACTATTCCTAGCACTTTGTTCGCTTTTTGGACCATTTTTTGAATATGCGCTCTATCTGAGTTATTGCTCTTTAATGTATATCCTAAGTACTGGAATTCTTTCAGCTGTTCAATCTTCTTCCCTCTCCATACCCACTCTTCCTTCTCCTTTCTTACTTTCTTCCCAAACACCACCATTTTTGTTTTTTCCACATTCACTTCCAATTCCTTTTTTTTACATACTTCTCCAAACTTGTAATCATTGCTTTCATTTCTTCTCTTTTCTTTCCCACAATCACCAAATCATCTGCGTACGCCAATAACCACACTTTCTCTTTGCCGACTACCACCCCTCCTGTCTGTGCTTTTCTGAACATTTCATCTATATCTCCTAAATAAGCTGCAAACAATGCGGGGCTGAGTGGGCATCCTTCTCACTCCTCTATTTGTATAAAAACTTTCACTCTCTATTCCATTCTCTCTCACCGTATTTACTGTTTCTTCATATATTTCTTCCATTTTCGTTACCAAGTATGCATCTACTCCCTTTCTCCTCAAATACTCCCACATTTTCTCTCTATTTATGCTATCAAACGCTGCTTTGAAATCTATGAACAATGCGTACATTCGTCCACCCTCTTTCCTTATTTCTCTTCCCACTAAATGCCGCAGGATGTACACATTGTCCATAGTACCTCTTCCTTCCCTAAACCCTGCCTGACCGTCTGGTAACATACCCCTTGCTTCCATCTCCTTTCGTAACCTCTCATCGAGTATCATTGTATATATCTTGTACGCCGTATTGAGCAAGGTAATCCCTCGGTAGTTCTTCACATCACTTTTTTGCCCTTTTTTAAATAATGGGATTATTATACCTTCTCTTCACTGCCGAGGAAACCCTTTTCCCTTCCAAACTCCATTTACCACTTCCCATATCTTTTCTTTCACTTCTTCTGTCCCGAACATCCACGCTTCGTTCTGGATTCCATCCCCTCCTGGTGCCTTTCCTCTTTTCAGTCTTCCAATCTGTCTTTCTATTTCATCTTTTGTTATTTCCGAACCTCTCCACATTTCTTCCGTCGTTGTGATTCCTTTATTTATTCTGCAGCATTTTTCCTCACAACCTCCCAATAATTCCATAAAGTGTGTTTTCCATTCATGTATTTTGATTTTCCCGCTGATTTCAGTCTTCCTTCTCCGTTCCTTGTTTATATATCTCCATACTTGCTCTTCTGTTTTCAGGGACTTTATTGTCTTCTCTTCTTCTTTTCGTTTTTCTCTTTTTCTTTCTGCCCATTTTCTCCTATAATTCTCTCTTGCTTTTAGGTACTCTTCTTTCCTTCCCTTGTTATTCTTCCATTTTCTTAATTTTCCCTTGTTTTTCTCTTCAACTCACTACATTCTCCGTTCCATCCATTATCCCGCCCTTGCCATATGTAGCTTCTACAATTAGGTTGCTCAGTTCCACCATCATAGCTTCTATATCTTCTTTTACTTCGAATTTCCTTTTTTCTACTCTACTTCTGTATTTTTGAATTCCCTCTTCATCCCATATTCTTTTTTCTAATTCTTTTCTTTCGTGTCTTCTCTCTTGTTTTTCGTACTCTTGCTCTTTTCCTTTGATTTTTATTTCTAGAGGCATGTGGTCTGATTCTACCCTTTCCCCCACTTTGAAACTCTCTATTTCTTCCCACGCCTCTTCGTTGACAATCCCATAATCTATAATAATTGATTCTCCCCTCACCCCTACGTACGTCCATTCTCCTTCTTCATCTCCTTCCTTGTTTCCATTCAAAATTTCCCATCCCATTTCTTCTATTATCTGCCACAATATTTTCCCTTCTTTGTTATTTGCTTTATCTTTTGATCCTCTTTTCTCTCCCTTTTCTTTATCTATTATTCTTGTCCCCTTATCGCCCAATCTTGCGTTAAAATCCCCTCCTGTAAGTATTTTTTCATCTTCTTTTTCTTTTGTTTCCATTTCTATGTTTATCTTGGTTTCCTCCATTTTCTTGCTATAAACGGTTACTATTTCCCATCGATTGTTATCCAGCTGTATTACCTTCTTCATTAATCCGTTTTTATTATTACTTCCATTTTCCAATTCTTGCATTTCTTTTCGAATTCCCATTACTATTCCCCCGCTTGCTCTCCCCTTTTTCTTTTCCTTTGTGTGTGTCTCTTCCAATTTCTCCCAGTTTTCTCTTTGCACCCAAGTCTCTACTAGCCCCACAACATCAAATTTTCCCACGTAGTCTCAGAACTCCTTTTCCTTTTTTCGCAACCCTTGGACATTCCAAAACAGTAGCTTCACCCCTTTTTCTCCTAATTTTGTACCAGGTTCCCTTTTTCCGATTTCCCTATCTACATCCTTTATTCCCTTTCCTTTTCCTTTGCCTTGTTTGCTTCCCTTTTTCCTCGTTTTCTTCCTTCTCTTTTGGCTCTTTACTAAAAATTTTCTGCCTTCTTGAGTCTGCCCTCTTCTTCATTCCATTTAAAATTTCTGCCGTCTACAGTTAACTTTTTATATCCCATTCTAACCATTTTTCCTTTATTTCTCTCTTTTATTGCCTCTTCTTTTATCTTGATTTGAATTTTTCTTTCCGTTTTCGTCAGATCATCATTTATGTAAATTGACGACCCTTTTAAGTTCTTCTTGCTTTTCATTACATTTATTTTTTCTTCTATGTTTTCGAATTTACTCTCTATTTTGACTTTCTCTTCTAAAAATTTTGTCACTTTTCCAATTATCTGCTTCTGCTCTCCTGTTTCTATTTCCAATCCCATCATCACTACTTTATTTCTTCTCTTTTCTCTCTCCATTCGATCTAGTTGACTTTCTACTTCACCCACTCTCTTTCCCATTTTTTCCTTAGCTCTCTTCCATTCTTCATACTTATCTCTAATTTCTTGATTTTGCTCCTGTAGTTGATCTCTAGTTTGCTTTAATTCTTCTCTTATTGTTTTAAGCTCCTCTTTAAGCTGTGTATTCCATTCGTTCAATAGTTGTTTATTACTTTCTCTCATATCACCTCTGATTTGTGTCACAAGTTCGCAGATCATCTTCTTGACCTCCTCCATCTCTATATCTTCTTGATTTTCCTTCTCTCTCGATTGCAGAGGTGATCTTACTGTTATTTTGCTTCTGTGGAAGACCTGCTCGTTCTCTTTCGGCGACTCTACTTCTCTATCCCTTTTCTTTCTTTCTGTCCCTTTACTACTCATTACCTCTTTGTCTTTGACTTCCTTCCAGGCGGAAGGATATAACCCAGATCGTCTCTTCGGAGGTTATTCTCCTATCCGTGTTTACGTTTATCTGTCTTTTTATGAAGAAGGTGAAACGGTGAAACCTTTTCGGGGGCCCCAAGTGTCTTTTTTTAGAATGTAAAACCTTCTCGGGAGTTTTCTTCCTCGATGTTTTTTAAGGAGCGACTAATTATTTAAAAAAATTGCTATTGAAAAACAAACACAACAAACACAGATTAAATTTTATTTACAAACAACAATAACACCCATACTTATGTTTCAGGTTAAAATGGCGACCGGAAGCATACAAGACGTCACCAAGAAAATGCTCTCCGAAAAGCTCTTCACATGTGCCACTTGCAACAACCTGCTAACAGTCCCAGTAATGATGGTCGAAGACGTAGGAAACGTTTGCCACGACTGCTTCAAAGTCAGAGACGAAGAAGACGAACCTAAAAGCGTCCCCAACACCACTTTAAACTCGTTACTGAAAGAACTGAAGTTTCCATGTAAATTCCACCCTCAGGGTTGCGACGAGGACATCCTTTACGACAATTTAAAAGAGCACGAACGCCAGTGCGTTTACCGTCTGGTTGATTGTTTAATGCCAAAAAACAAATGCGACTGGACCGGAAAACTCGTCGACTTGCTCAAACACTTCAAAGAGGACCACTCCAAGCACGTCCTAACCGGACCTCTCGAAGAATTCTCTTTCGAAATGAACTTGGAGAAAGTCGGTTCGATAATCAAATTGCTGAGTTACAGAAATAGAACTTGCGTTTTGAGAATAGAGAGATCGGAACGAGATAATAGTTTGGTGCATTGTTTGCAAGACGTCTCGGGGACAGATGGAGATTTGAAAATGGTTGTGAAGTATGTGGGTGGAAGTAACGTCTACAAGGGGAAAGTCGAAGTTTCGCCGTTTGATGCAACCTGCGATGAGCGATACAGCAAAAAAATTAAACTGTCTGCTTTGAAAGAAGTGTCAGAGGGGGCCGACACAGTCAAAGTCGTGATTAAGCCAGGCAAGTGCGAATTCAAGAACACGACTTCTGAAATTATGAAGAATTTGGAGTGTCCCATCTGTAAGGAAATCATGAGGCAACCGATTTTCCAGTGTCTGACTGGCCACAGCATCTGCCAGTCCTGTCGTAAGAAACTTTCGCTGTGTCCGACTTGTCGCACAGCCTTTCCTCAACAAAACATCCGGAATTTTTCGTTGGAGGCCTTAACACTCTTTGTGCAATACGAGTGCGCTTACCACCAGTTTGGTTGTACTTCGACGGTTTTAGGAAGCGAAATAGACAACCATGAGGGAAAATGCAAATATCAGATGTACGAGTGCCCTGTAAATGATTGCAATTTTACGGGCAATTATTCATCGTGCAAGAATCACTTCCAGGTTAACCACAACCAAGATTTGGTTACAGGAACTATATACAAAAGTAGTTTTACGCCGCTTGGAAACAAAATGGCTACCACAACACAAATTGTGTATTTTTTCGAATTTGGTAACTTGTTTAGGTTGGCGTTCTCGCGTTTGCAAGATTCTTGTTCCTGGACTGCGCGAATTTTGAATAATTGCGCCAAGGATGCGCAGTTTTTCTTTGCGGTTTACGTGACCCATCCGAATATTAAGCAACGATTTATAGCAAAGTCTAATTTGTGTTTGAACAGGGATGTTGCTGTGACTAACAGTGACAAAATTACTTTTACATACGATAGTTTAACGCCGTACAAAAGCACGAGTTCTGATCAAATGAATTTTCGTGGCGAAATATTTGCCGAGAAGTCGTCTTAAATGCACTCTTTTCGCTCTTAGTTTTAACCAAATTTTGCCAAATTGTAAGCTAATCTAATATGCGAAAGCTATGTAGTTGTACAATCTGTAAAACTTGATTCGATGTAAATTTTTAATTAAATTGGTTAACTAGATTGTTTTTCGCAAGCCTGTTGTATAGTTGAATAAATCCCGCTTCTCTGAAATTTTTTTTATTCTTGTATTTATGATAACGAAAACCTCTGCACACTGAAACAAATACAGGTGGGTCACGAGTAATTAAGAGCGTGAATAAATTTGAAACGCAACCCAAAATACATTTTTGCAACGAATAAACTTTGGGAGCTATTTACATATAAACAACGGCATTGACAGCGTCGTAATCACGTCACAATGTTGACTCTACTCGAATATTTTAAGGTTACCATGGCAACGGAAGGTTAAAATACACGTGTGCGGGAAGTTCTACCTCCCGCAACCTGGTGAATGCGCGAAAGTCATCAAAAAAGGTCATGAGAAAGGTATTCGCACGTCCGTCATTCACAGACGAGGAATATAACTATGTTTGTTGGGTTGCATAAAAACCACAAAGGGGGATGTTTACGTGCCGATGTAACAAAAGCTTACAAAACTGATGTAATTACATTCGACTGTATTTTATTTTAATAAACAACCAGCGTTTTGTCGACTTTGCATTTGAAATCTAGGGAAGTTGTCGGAGGTAGTTGGAGTTTTTTATAATTTATAATGTGGTACCCCTGCTCGATTTTCACTCTAGTACAGTGTTGCCAGACGTAGCGGAATTTTGAGCAAAGAGCGGCGTAGCGGCGATAGCGCAAACAACCTGAAAATGTAGCGGAATTTTTCTGAGACCTGAAAATTGGAAAAATCGAGGGTTTTAGCTGAATTTGCGACGACATGTAGGGGAATTTTATCATTTAAATCTGGCAACACTGCTCAAGTTTGTCATCATTGTATGTATCTAATATATATGCGTTGGAAAGCAGTGGTAGAGCTGTATTAAAAATATCTATTTCGTGTATATAATATTAAATATTAGTGACCATTTGGGGTACTTCAACAGATTGTATCCCGTTTGTCTATCGGTTGTCAAAATTGGTAAGTAAATCGACGATTTAATCGTGAAATTTCCGTTGAGAACTTTTGCGTCGCAATACACGGACTGCTAAAAAAAACAATAAAATAAAATGAGTTCAATTCCTTAAAAAATTGTTTTTAATTTCATCAAAACAGGATTAAATAACCTTCAAGATAGAATTGAATAACTGAACAATTATTTTTGTTAGCTTTTACTTCTCGATCATAAGCGAAGGAAGTATTGTTATCAGGTTTCCCGTTTCCGTCTGTCTGCCATCTCGGATTTTTACAATTAGGAATGTCATGTAGATGCTTAAACGCTAACCAAAATTTTGTCTAATCATCCCCACCAATAATGCGATGACGTCACCTCAAAATTCACAGCAAATGGGTTTTAAATTGTATAAAATTACATAGTTCTATACATGTAGTTTATGACAATCACAATATATTTGCTTATCCCCTTTAAAAAATTGATGACGTCAGCTCAAAATTTTCCAGAATAAATTCTACATAAAATGTATCTAGAAAATATGACGAGTCTGTACGTACGATGAGATTGCCAAAATTATTTTACATATTTTGCCGGAAAATTGCATATTTTCGGGGTTAATTTAACAATGTTTAAACAAATTGAACTGTTTTTAATAACGACATGTTTGTAGGGAAACGGTTTTCGGTTTAATGACGACACATTAATACGTATCACATTTAAACGGTATAAATAATATTAATTATGTTTAAATATCATTTATTCCTCGGAAAAGACATCCGCTTTGATTGATTCACTTAAATCGTCTTTCAAAATCCCAAAAATTTAGAGATTTGTCAAAATACCAATCACGAACGTCGCAAATTTCGACCCATTCTCGACGATTTTCGGAATTTAACTAAATACTTCCGTGTAGATTTTGGCCAGCAGAAGTCACTTCTGCATTTTTTAAAAATTTAAAAAAAATCGAATTTCACACCGAATTTTCCGAAAATATTGCTCCGTTATTATAAACATGCTATATTTTTGAAATCAGCACGTCGGGATATATATATACATCTCTGAATTTTTTCAGAATTTTTAGACAACTTTTTCAAAAATGAAGTTTTACGCTATGGTAGTACTTGTGAAATAACCTACCGTTTTCTAAGAAAAGGTACTAGCCCCACCCACCCACCCTTTATTTTCTTAGAAGAGTAGGTCATCTGCCAAAATCAATCTTATCTTGGCAAGTAGGAGACTGACTTTTGCAAATGGCATATTCTCTAAGAAAATAAAGGGTGGGTGGGCGGGGCTAGTACTTGTCAAGATGAGACTGATTTTGGCAGATGACTTATTCTTTTAAGAAAATAAAGGCTGGGTGGATGGGCGGGGTTAGCACTTGCTAATAATAAAAAAAATTAAAAATCAAAAAATGACAAATTGTAAAATCGGATAAATGAGAAATCGGAAAATTGTACAACTGTATAATCTGAAAATCAAAAACTGAAATATCGAAAAATTGAAAAAAAAACAAATCTCAAAATCGAATTCGTAATTCCAGTTTTCATTTTTTTTTAGTTTTTAGATTTTTCTACTTTTGAATTTTTCATTTGATAATTTGTTGGACAATTTTGCAGTTTTTAATTCCAATCTTTTGATTTTTCAAATTTTAACTTGACAATTTTGGAATTTTTTTATTTTTAATTTTTCAAGTTCTCACGTTAAAATTTTTCCTTTTCACGATTTGTTATTTTTCGATTTTTGACTAAAAGAACAAATTTATTCGAACCGAAATTTTGAAAAATCGAAAAATCCAAAAATTGAAAATTATAAACCAAATTTTCGGATGTTTTAAAGTTACGGTAAACATGGCAAATCGCTGATCAAAATTACTTTTTACTCCCTTCCAAAAACTCGGTGACAAAAAATCAAAAATCGAAAAATTAAAAAAATTAACATCTATATTCTCGATATTTTTAAAAATCAAATAACTGAGAAATCGGAAAACTGGCAAAATTGTAAATTAAAAAAATTTAAAGTTTTTTTCAGTTGCCAAGAGAAATCAAAACTCGAAAGACAGATCAGAAAATTGAAAATTTAAATGGCGAGAAATTGAAAAATTCGATGTTGAAAAATCGAAAAATTGAAAAATCTACTAGTACTCATTATGGTAAGACTGATTTTGGCAAATGATCTACTCTCTAAGAAAACAAAGGGCGGATGGGCCGGGCTAGTATTTGCCAAACTAAGACTCATTTTGGCCAATGACCTACTCTTCTAAGAAAAATAGTCTTATCTTCGCAAGTATGGGACTGATTTTTGCAAATGCCAGATCCTCTAAGAAAACAAGGGTGGGTGGGCGGGGCTAGTAGCTATCAAGATAAAACTGATTTTGGCATATGACCCACTCTTCTAAGAAAATAAAGGGTGGGTGGGCGGGGCTAGTACTTGCTAAGGTAAGACTGATTTTGGCAGATGACTTATTCTTCTAAGAAAATAAAGGCTGGGTGGGTGGGGTTAGTACTTGCTAAAAATAAAAAAAGATAAAAATCAAAAAATGACAAATTGAAAAATCGGATAAATGAGAAATCGGAAAATTGTACAACTGTATGATTTGAAAATCAAAAACTGAAACATCGAAAAATTGAAAAAAAAAAACAAATCTCATAATGTCGAATTCGTAATTCCAGTTTTCATTTTTTTTTTAGTTTTTAGATTTTTCAAATTTTGAATATTTCATTTCATAATTTAACAATTTTGCAGTTTTTAATTCCAATCTTTTGATTTTTCAAGTTTTAACTTTACATTTTTGGAATTTTTTGATTTTTAATTTTTCGATTTTTTTAACTAAAAGAACAAATTTATTCGAACCGAAATTTTGAAAAATCAAAAAATCCAAAAATTGAAAATTAGGAACAAAATTTTCGGATGTTTTAAAGTTACGGTACACATGGCAAATCGCTGATCAAAATTACTTTTTACTCCATTCCAAAAACTCGGTCACAAAAATCAAAAATCGAAAATTTAAAAAAATAAGCATCTATTTTCTCGATATTTTTAAAAATCAAATAATTGAGAAATCAGAAAACTATCAAAATTGTAAAATTAAAAAATCGAAAGTTTTTTTCAGTTGCGCAGAGAAATCAAAAATCGAAAGACAGATCAGAAAATTGAAAATTTAAATGGCGAGAAATTGGAAAATTCGAAAGTTGAAAAATCGAAAAACTGAAAAATCTACTAGTACTCATTATGGTAAGACTGATTTTGGCAAATGATCTACTCTCTAAGAAAACAAAGGGCGGGTGGGCCGGGCTAGTATTTGCCAAAATAAGACTAATTTTGGCCAATGACCTACTCTTCTAAGAAAAATAGTCTTAGCTTCGCAAGTATGGGACTGATTTTTGCAAATGACAGATCCTCTAAGAAAACAAGGGTGGGTGGGCGGTTCTAGTAGCTATCAAGATAAAACTGATTTTGGCAGATGACCCACTCTTCAAAGAAAATAAAGGGTGGGTGGGCGGGGCTAGTGCTTGCTAAGATAAGACTGATTTTGGCAGATGACTTATTCTTCTAAGAAAATAAAGGCTGGGTGGGTGGTACTTGCTAAAAATAAAAATTTAAGAATCAAAAAATGACAAATTGAAAAATCGGATAAATGAGAAATCGGAAAATTGTACAACTGTATACTATGAAAATCAAAAACTGATTATATATATCGAAAAATTGAAAAAAAAACAAATCTCATAAAGTCGAATTCGTAATTCCAGTTTTCATTTTTTTTTAGTTTTTAGATTTTTCAACTTTTGAATATTTCATTTCATAATTTGACAATTTTGCAATTTTTAATTCCAATCTTTTGATTTTTCAAGTTTTAACTTTACAATTTTGGAATTTTTTGATTTTTAATTTTTCGATTTTTTAACTAAAAGAACAAATTTATTCGAACCGAAATTTTGAAAAATCGAAAAATCCAAAAATTGAAAATTTGAAACAAAATTTTAGGATGTTTTAAAGTTACGTACCGTAGCGATTTGCCATGTGTACCACATGGCAAATCGCTGATCAAAATTATTTTTTACTCCCTTCCAAAAACTCGGTGACAAAAATCAAAAATCGAAAATTAAAAAAAAGTAAGCATCCATTTTCTCGATATTTTTAAAAATCAAATAATTGAGAAATCAGAAAACTATCAAAATTGTAAAATTAAAAAATCGAAAGTTTTTTTCAGTTGCGCAGAGAAATCAAAAATCGAAAGACAGATCAGAAAATTGAAAATTTAAATGGCGAGAAATTGGAAAATTCGAAAGTTGAAAAATCGAAAAACTGAAAAATCTACTTGTACTCATTATGGTAAGACTGATTTTGGCAAATGATCTACTTTCTAAGAAAACAAAGGGCGGGTGGGCCGGGCTAGTATTTGCCAAAATAAGACTCATTTTGTCGAATGACCTACTCTTCTAAGAAAATAAAGAATAGATCATCTGCCAAAATCAGTCTTATCTTCGCAAGTTTGAGACTGATTTTTGCAAATGACATATCCTCTAAGAAAACAAGGGTGAATGCGCGAAAGTCATCAAAAAAGGTCATGAGAAAGGTTTTCGCGTCTCCGCCATTCACAGAAGAGGAATATAACTATGTTTGTTGGGTTGCATAAAAACCACAAAGGGGGATGTTTACGTGCCGATGACGAAAGCTTACAAAACTGATGTAATTACATTCGACTGTATTTTATTTTAATAAACACACTGTAGTTAGCCGTTTTGAATCAAATTTCCGCGCGCCAAACTTTTGGTAAGAAAAGGGGTAGAAATGGAAACAAACGAAAACCACTAATAAGAGGGAGATGCGCACAAGGGGTGTTTGAACCAAGAAAATAAAAAACGTGCTCGGTAGAAAAAAAATTTTACTTCGTTTATATTAGCTGACAGTTTGGTAAAATTTGGTTAAAACCAAGTGCGAAAAGAGTACATTTAAGACGACGTTTCGGCAAATATTTCGCAACGAAAATTAATCTGATCAGAATTCGTGCTTTTGTACGGCGTTAAACTATCGTATGTAAAATCAATCCAGTCGCTGTCAGTCACAGTAGCATCCCTGTTCATACACAAATTAGACGTTGCTATAAATCGTTGCTTAATATTCGGATGCGTCACGTAAACCGCGAAGAAAAACTGCGCATCCTTGGCGTAATTATTCAAAATTCGCGCAGTCCAGGAACAATAATCTTGCAAACGCGAGAACACCAACTCAAACAAGTTACCAAATTCGAAAAAATACACAATTTGTTTTGTGGCAGACATTTTTCTTCCAAGCGGCGTAAAATTACTTTTGTATGCAGTTCCTATAACCAAATCCTCGTTGTGGTTAACCTGGAAGTGATTCTTGCACGATGAATAATTGCCCGTAAAACTGCAATCTTTCTTAGGGCACTCGTACATCTGATACTTGCATTTTCCCTCATGTTTGTGTATTTCGTTTCCTAAAACCGTCGAAGTGCAACCAAACTGGTGGTAAGCGCACTCGTATTGCACAAAGAGTGTTAAGGCTTCCAACGAAAAATTGCGGATGTGTTGTTCAGGAAAGTCTTCCTGACAAGTCGGACACACCGAAAGTCTCTTGTGACAGGACTGACAGATGCTGTGGCCAGTCAGACACTGGAAAATCGGTTGCCTCATGATTTCCTTACAGACGGGACACTCCAAATTCTTCATAATTTCAGAATTCGTATTCTTGAATTCGCACTTGCCTGGCTTAATCACAACTTTGACGGTGTCGGCCCCCTCTGACACTTCTTTCAAAGCAGACAGTTTAATTTTTTTGCTGTATCGCTCATCGCACGTTGCATCAAACGGCGAAGCTTCGAGTTTACCCTTGTAGACGCTACTTCCACCCACATACTTCACAACCATTTTCAAATCTCCATCTGTCACCGAGACGTCTTGCAAACAATGCACCAAACAATTATCTCGATCGGATTTCTCTATTCTCAAAACGCAAGTTCTATTGCTGTAACTCAGCAATTTGATTATCGAACCGACTTTCTCCAAGTTCATTTCGAAAGAGAATTCTTCGAAAGGTCCGGTTAGGACGTGCTTGGAGTGGTCCTCTTTGAAGTGTTTGAGCAAGTCGACCAGTTTTCCGGTCCAGTCGCATTTGTTTTTTGGCATTAAACAATCGACCAGACGGTAAACGCACTGGTGTTCGTGTTCTTTTAAATTGTCGTACAGGATGTCCTCGTTGCAACCCTGAGGGTGGAATTTACATGGAAACTTTAGTTCTTTCAGTAACGAGTTTAAAGTGGTGTTGGGGACGCTTTTCGGATCGTTTTCTTTATCTCTGACTTTGAAGCAGTCGTGGCAAACGTTTCCCACGTCTTCGACCATCATTACTGGGACTGTTAGCAGGTTGTTGCAAGTGGCACAGGTGAAGAGACTTTCGGAGAGCATTTTCTTGGTGAAGTCTTGTATGCTTCCGGTCGCCATTTTAACCTGGAACATAAGTATGGGTATTATTGTTGTTTGTAAATAAAATTTAATCTGTGTTTGTAAATTATTATTATTTATTTAATCAGGAACTACAAAACCGAATGCTTTGAAATCTTGGAGATGTTTTAAAGTTATCATAGGCATGGTAAATTTTTGATCAAAATATATTTGCTCATGCCCCCCCTAAAAAATTGATCACGCCACCCCAAAATTTTTCCGAAAAAATTCTATAATTGTGATTTATCATTGCATGAATATTTTTTAGATTTGCTTATATGGGGTGTGTGAAAAAAATTAATGACTGAGTCAATTTATTTTATTGATTAAATCAAGAATTGCAAAACTGAATACTTTGAAATCTTGACGTTTTGAATTGTAAGCATGGTAACTTTTTAATGAAAATGAATCAGTTTATCAACCCCAAAAAATATGAATAGACTTTTAATCAATGCATTCATATTTTTTAGATTTGCTTAAACAGATGACTCAAAAAATTAATGAATCAGTCAATTTATTATTAATCAAATTAAGAACGAGCCACCCCATTTTCTGGAAAATGTGAGATACGCTCGTCTTTATAACGATAAAATAATGATAAGGTAAGAATTATAATAATAGCATTCAGAATATTTTGTTCAATGGAAGCTTATGAATAATTTTACTTGTCTGTTTTGGGGTGATAAACTCATTCAAATCAAACGAATGTCTACGTGACATTCTTCCGATGTAATGTATTTCCGTTGATAATGTTCTATAAATAGTTTTTTTTTTAAGGAACACAATGGGCGAACGCAGATTATCTTCGCTATCTACTATCTATTGAACTAAACGTATATTTGTTTTCATTTTTCGATAATATGTACTGATTTTATTTCATTGGCAATCCGCGGATTGCGACCCAAAATTTTTCAACGGAACAATATTTTTGTGAAACACTCCAACATTAGAAAAGGAAAGCAATACAGAGGATCAGCTGATTGTAGTCAAGTGGTGAATGTGTTTGTATTTGTAGTGGGTTTTAATTTGTGTTTAATATTGTTTATTGACATACGACGGTAAGAGTAAAGTTGTAAAGTGTTAAACAGACCATAATACGTAGTGTTTTTTATATAAACAGTAACCGACGGGTTCTCCGTTTAAATTTATACGGACTTAAAATTATTATTGTGCTTAAACAGGTTACCATTAGTTCAGTCTTGTGAATAGTCTCATTCAAAAATCTTAAGCTCAATTTATTTTCATGTTGTCCAGTGTTGTAGAGTTTATTAAATTTTATTAAATAAATTATTAAAAACTTATTGAGTGTTATTCACTAATTCTACAAAGAAGTCTTAACATTACCTAACTTACATTTAAAAAAAAGTGAATTAAATAAATAATTACAAACAAATTTTTATGCTTGGCCAATAATTTTCTTTTCGTTTTCTTTTTCACTACAAGTATGGGTAAAAAAGATATACTTACCAAAATAAACAATTTTTGCCTTGAGGGTGCGAAATAATTTTTTTATCCCATGAGAATGTGCATTTTTAACCCTAGAGCCAAGCTCGAGTCTCGTAACTCTGCTTAAAAAGGTTTTTGCATTTTTTTTACTCATATTGCATTTACTAGCAGCAACTTCGGAAAAAACGCTCCTATTTCGGGTACGTACTTTTATTTATTTGATCGCATGAGAATGTCCCTTTTTAACTCAATATCGAAGGTCGAAGGTTAAAACGCATTCCAATTAATATCCTTTATACAAAAATTACTATTATGAAAATTTGGTGGGAGAAACATAAATTGCGCAATATTTTTGAGCTAATAAAAAAGAGAAAAAAAATGGTGTCAATAAAATCATGCGGTTCTATTTATTCTAGGACACAGCGTGGTTATTTTGAACAACAAAAAATTAGAAATCCAATTTAAAAAATATGCCTACGGTTTGTGCCGCCTATAACTGCACATATCGCCATAAGAAAGGCGACAATATTTCGCTTCATCAGTAAGTAATGAAGAAATTGAGATGTTCGTTACCTGTTCTTATTACCTATATAGGTTTCCAAAAGATCCGGAATTAAAGACCAAATGGTTGCAAGCCATGAGACGCCTTAATTATGTGCCATCAAATACAGCAAGGCTGTGTAGCCAACATTTCCTTGAGACTGACTTTATTATACAATTTGGAAAAAAATTACTAAAAAATGGGGCTGTACCAACTGTATTCAAATTTCCTAAACATCTGATGAAGTCACCTGCAAAACCCAGAAGTACGCGTCTTCAAAAAAAAGATGCAGCAGTTAGTCCCAACATTTCACCAAAAAGGTTTATTATTAATTTAGATAAGAACAATTTATATCAATTAGTGAAACATTTATTATGATTGTAGTTGCACCATTGACCCTGAATTGCCCGCAGAAGGTGAACAATTGTATGTTCAAGCTACGCCATCAACTAGGTATTTGCATAATGCGTAAGTGTTGTAAAAAAAGAAATATGTATAATATCTAATTGTAGTCGAAATCTTGAACAATCCCTCGCTCTTACTGAAAATTGTGGCCTTCCATCAACCAGGTAGTTTTTATTATTTTACCATAAGTAAAATACAAATATGTATACAGTTTCAGTTCTAGGAAACGTAAAAACTTTGTGTATTTTGGGGATTGTAAAGAAGACGATTTGAGAGACCCAAAGAAAGCAAAACTTATGTGGGGTATTGCAAAAGAAACAATAAGAAAACAGAGGAAGACCATAAAGTATTTGCATACCAGAAACAGAAGACTCCAAGCCAAAGTAAAGACACTAGGTGAAATAGTGAACCATTTAAAGAATACTCAACGAATATCTGTTGACAGTTATATGGTACTACAGGTGATACACTTGTTTTATATGAAATTTGTACTAACCGCTAGTAGTGCCACTAACAAGAATGATTTTATTTTTTCGCTTCTAATTTGTGTCTGAGAATAAGTTTCATTTACAGATTTTTTGGGGCCTTTATATTTGACACTGTAGCTAAACATTAATATCACTTGTTTTGTTAATTTAGGAGACACTTCCACCAGCGCAACGTCAGCTGTTTTTGAGACAGCTTAAAGTAACGACAAAGAGACAGTACCCACCTGAATTGCGATCATTTGCGTTAACTTTAAATTTTTACTCAAGCGCTGCATATGACTATGTGCGTACAGTCTTTGGTAAATGCCTTCCTCATCCATCTACCTTGCGAAAATGGTATTCTTCCATCGATGGCTCTCCTGGATACACAAGGGAGTCGTTAAATGCCATAAAACTTAAGGTAGCAGAAATGCAAGAAAAGGGAGTACCGTTAATCTGCAGCTTGATGGTGGATGAAATGTCGGTAAAGCAGCATGTTGAACTAGTTGGTGAGAAAGAAGTAGGATACATAGACTATGGCTGTGGATTCGGAGACAACGATTCGTTACCACAAGCTACATATGCAATTGTCTTCTTGTTGGTTGCAATAAATGCCCGATGGAAAATTCCGTTGGGCTACTTTTTAATAACGAAACTGTCTTCTGAAGAAAAAGCCAATCTCATTAAAGGATGCTTTGCAATGCTAAATGATACTGGAGTGAAAGTAATATCCATAACCTTTGATGGGGCTCCTACTAACATTGGAATGGCAGAGTTATTAGGTGTCAATTTAACTTGGCCGAATTTGAAAACCTTTTTTCCTCATCCAGTGACTGGGGAGAAAGTTTTTGTTATTTTGGACGCATGCCACATGATTAAATTGGTGCGAAATACCCTCGGGGATTTTGGAGAACTGCTAGACGGTCAGCAACAGCGCATTCGCTGGCAATTTTTTAAAGAAATCGTGGCGATACAGGATGCAAGTCAACTAATGATGGGCACTAAAATTCGGCAACGGCATATAAACTATTTTAGAGAAAAGATGAAGGTTAAATTGGCGGTGCAAATTTTTAGCCAAAGTGTTGCTGATGCGTTAAATTATTGCAATCAGGACTTAAGGCTACCGCAGTTCATAGGGGCAGAAGCCACTTCGAGGTTCTGTTTTATGATTAATAAGGCGTTTGACATTTTAAACAGCAGAAACAACCTAAGTAGACAAATTTTTAAAAAGGGAGTATCAGCGCAGACATGCCACTCAGTAAACAGTTTTATCGACGAATTCGTTACGTATATCAGCAGCATTACAACAAAAGATAATATAAATATTCTGCTTTCCAGAAGAAAACTGGGTTTTCTGGGTCTAATTGTCGATCTTATTAGTGTTCAGCAAATAGTTCAAGAATATATCGTGGAGCAAGGCACTCTGAAATATTTGCTGACATACAAGTTAAGCCAAGACCACCTCGAATTGTTTTTTTCTTCTATTAGAGCTAGGGGTGGATTTAATAACAACCCAACTCCTCGACAGTTTCAAGGTGCATATAAACGTCTTTTAGTTCACGTTGAACTAAAAACTTCACAGAATACAAATTGTGAGGCTTTCGACAGTATTAGTATTTTACATGTAACAAGTGCCCAAAAGATACCAACTCTGGACATTCTCAAAGATATAAGTGACCAGATTGACGAAGATGAGTGTGATAATTATATCACATTACCCGATACGCTACCAGACATCGATTGTGACTTTATAAGTGATGTAGTAACTTATATTGCGGGATTTGTGTGCGCTAAATTAGTAAAACGTTTAGAATGCAGCATATGTAGCGACAGTTTACTTTCTACAGTTTCCGACTCGGCCCTCTTAAATAGAAAAAACCGAGGGGGTCTAACAAAACCTTCTAAAGATGTGATAATTATATGTAAATACGCTGAACGAGTGTTTAGGCAGCAAAAAAACATAGCTTTGAAGGACATTAATAAACTCGTCCTTACCGCAACGAGGGAAATTAATTTCACAAATTTATTTTTAAATTTAAGAGACCATCTTTTGGATCAGGATCCCATTAATAATCACTTGAATCTTTTAATTTATTTAATTTTAAAGCAGTATTTTATTATAAAAACACATCATTTTAATCAAACTTTAAATGAAGCCAAGCAAAGGATCAGAGCTCAGTTTACCAAATTAATTCATTTCAAGCATCAGTAAGTCAGTTTCATATAAGATTTATTGTATAGTTTTCTCCATGTGTTAAATTGATTATTATTATTACATTTCCTTACAAAACATCCAATGGTAATAAGTATTGAAAAATACCGCACTTCAGTTTCGATGAAAAGTATATGTTTTTCAGAAAATAGCTATTTGAAATTTTAGTCTGCTTAACTTCTCTGAATTTTTACTATTACGATGAAAAACGTTAAAAATAAAAATACTTTCAATTTTCATGACTAGATGCCTTTTTTAAGAAAATTCACTATCACCAGTTTGCAAATCGCGCGGCGCTGATGTTTTAATTAGAGGATTTTAGTTATTATGCATACACATAACAGTTATTACGCTTTTCACCACAAACATTATATCCTACAGACTTCATTTATGACATTTAGTTGCTTTTTATATATTTGCCAACTTAATAAATAAATATTTTTCCTACCGCTCCTATTTATTTCAATGCATATTTACCTCCTTTTGACTACAATCACGTGGTACAAATTAGCGCTCTCACTCCCACTCTAGCCAAGCCGCGATCTTCTATTGCTCTCACATGTTGTCGTCAATGCTCAACACGGTACGGTGTGGGTTACGCGCTATCCATAAGTAATTATTAGATCTATGCGCTGTTGCATGTAACTGTAATTGTAGGCAGAACACCACATCACCACGCATGTATTACGTGTCAGATGTCAATATTATCAGTTGTGTAATAACCCAAACCTGCCGCCGAATATTGCACATGCGCACTCTGAACACAAGAAAAACCGCGCAAATTCAAATGAAAAATTTGGCCAATGATCGTGAACGTCTAGCAAGGTTAGAACCTAAGTTGTGTTACGTTAATATGGCGGCAGGCGGTTCAGATCTATAGCGAAGTGAGCAAACCAACGAGTGAGGGAAGAACACAGGTATAAAGACACATAAATTTTTAACGGGAGGGCGCCTTTAATGTTTAACGATTACACAATAAACGAGTTAAACACATTGCAGTTTGCAGTTACAATTATTTTGCGACACATTTCGTCTTGTTTACAAAGTTTAATATCATTGTGTTTACAAATTGTTAAAAAAAACAAGGTTCGGGTCCAAACCTCCCAGAAAGACACCGAACAGGCCCATTAAATTACATCTTTTCTAACAATAAATTTTACTAATAATTTTGCATACGGAACAATGACTCCCATTCGCATCTTCGCCGTGAAAAACAAAAAAAAACGTAGCGCTTCGCCAGTACAAGAACAGGAAGGTTATTTGACGTGCAGGGATATACAAGCGTCACATTAGCGAGAGAGATAGAGGGGGAGAGAGAGAGAGATAGTTAGGGCCGGGGGAACGCCCCCCCCCGTCCAAAAGTTTCCTGTCCGGGCCCGCCGGTTTCGTGGCGCGATGTACCATTGACTACCGGCCGTTCCACGAGAAGCTGCTGTCCCCGAATACAACTGCCACCCCGTCTACAAGGTCCGATGGCCCCGCAGTAACCAGGTCGCTGCTCAGTAGTATCGTGTACCGTCCGATCAACGACGGGATTAAAGTCGGCGGTACATCACGCATCGATCACCCGCGGAACGGAAAAGAAAAAAGGAACCGGACCTATCAGTCATGCCTTGTACTAACGTGAAAAGAGGAAAAGTCAACTACAAAAGACACATAAAAAGCCACCCGCGTTCAGGGCAGACGATAAACACACAAATACAAAAATAATGGGTGGGGGATTTCCCCTGGGGTGCTTCCCCGATTGCCGTTTTGGCTTTTTGGTTTCAAATATGGCCGTTTTGGCTTTTGGTAAGTACATATTGGAAATTCAGCTGTAGGAACTAATAGTCACGTGCGCATACATTAATTATTAGGTATATTTAGACACAAAAAAAAAGAAAGAAAGAGAACGAAAAAAAAAGAAGGAGAGGGGGAGAGAAAGCTCTGCGCCACGGGTCGTAGTTGAGTGCAAGCGAGTCAGATTACGAACAGAGGAGTCACTATTTTCACAGGTTCTAATTTAGGTGTTACGACAACACTTCAATAAACAAAAAAAGCAAATAACAAAGCGTCACCGTCGCGTCGGTCGCCATTTTGTTCTCCGTGAAGCGTCACATATTATCTCTTTCTAATTAATACAAATAACAAACGCCACCATCGCGTCGGACGCGATTTTTGCTTGTGCGCAGCGTCACTCGGTTTCTCTTTCTAGCTAACAAAACGACAAAGACAGCAAAACGCCAGTACCGCGTCGGTCGCCATTTTACTATTCGTGAAGCGTCACAGGCTGTCTCTTTCTAACTAACGCAACTAACAATTACCCAATTACCCGGTATCCACCACCTAGTTACGCTAACCCAAAACAAAACAATGCTATTTACCCACGTTCTATGTCCGTCTTAAAATTAACCCTTCCGTTTCTAGCCCGCTTTGATACAACCTTCCGACACCTGACCGCGCGAACAACGAATTTATTATTATTATACCAACACCGCTTCCGCATGCATGCACACTTCTTACAATAATTCGCCTCTAACATCGTATGTGATAATCGAGCCTACCAATAAGCCACCGAGTTGGGAAAGGGTTAATCCAATCGGCGTCCTTTCAGCTTCGGCACTTAAGTCGCAGGCGCCGTGCGGGCGTCGCACTAAATTTCACCTCACTGGGAAGGAAATAGTTTATTGGTACACCGCACCCGTCCCAAATGTCTCGGAGGAGTCGGTGGTTTCCTATTTCCAGACGAAAACTCCAGAAAAACACAAAGATTGACACCAGTAATTTGTTCGATCTTGCACCCTTGAAGGTAGTACTCTGACTGACTTCTCTCCCTTCCTTTTCGCCTCGTATCTCCGCATCCCCCGGTACGTCCCGTACCACCCAACAGATGGCGTACCAAGTATCGTTCTGGGATAAATTCGGATGTTGCTTTGGCGCTGGTTTTCTTTCGATTCAAATTTAAAGCGGGATATTACAGTTGTTATCACTAACCAACCCAGCAAATTATTTATTACGTCGCATACTATGCCATATAGCATTAAATGTATATATCCAATAATATGAAAAAATCATAGAAGTCACACATTAAATTATTGATTTACTTACCAATTTTGATAACTAAATAGACAAACGTTTATATATCAATCAGATACGACGACGACAAACTTGAGTGAAAACCGAGCAGTGGTACCTCATTGTAAAATATAAAAGCACAGTTAAAAGCGTCCAACTCTCTCCAGAAAAATCCCCGGATTACAACTGCAAAGCCAACAAAACGCTGAGTGTGTTTATTAAAATAAAAATACAGTCGAATGTAATTACATCAGTTTTGTAAGTTTCGTTGAATCAGCACGTACACATACACCGTGGTACACATCCACCTTTGTGGTTTTTATGCAACCCAACAAACATAGTTATATTCCTCCTCTGTGGGTGACAAACCTTTCTCCACCCAAATAAATTAAAACTGTAACAGAATTTACCAAGTTTAAAGTAATGAAGGGAGGTGATGTCCAAATTACGTCATTAATAATTTCTACTTATTTTTTATATCTATGAATAGGCAACCAACAAAACAACACACGTAAAAATACTCATAAAATACTTAAGTTTTGTGATTATGATTATATCCCTATGGTTACGCATTTAAGGGGACTCGCTAGACGAGGTATAACATTTTTTTGGTTTTTTGTATACAAAATGATATTAATATAGACGTATCATACATCAAACTGCAGCTTTTTTCATATTCTAGAGCGCAGAGACCAGTTCAATCAACTAAAAAAATATGGCTGAGAAATATCGTAAAAAAGCACCATTGTATGTTTTCTGGATAAAACATCACTTTTTACAGGGCGTAGAGTCATTAAATGTTTGTTAGTGGTACAATTTGTTTAAATAATAGTGTGTTTATTAAAATCAAAATATACCACAAATTAATGCAAAATACGTCGAATAATTTTAACAGGAATATCAGAGGAAAATTAATGATCTATTGGTTAGCAGAGTTTTCAACAAAAACTAACAATTATTGAAAAAAATGGGTATCAATTCGACAGAATTTGAGCAGTTAGTTCAGTACTTTGCCGATAGGAGCGCCACTAAAATTTACGGAAGCGACTTTCCAGGTAAAACCCTTATCGCCTGCTCTACCATAAGCTGATTGTTAGAGTTCTCGGCTGATTTTTCTAATTTATGGCAAGGAACTCAATTTTGTAACAAGCCGGCCGTAGTAATCTATTGTTAAGGAAATTAACTTTTACGCAATGAGGTACTATAATAAAACCGAATTAAAACTGGGGAACTATAATATTTTTACTCCACCCAGGATCCTGAATTCAATACACATGATTACTAAAAATTCGTTGTAATATTATTGTTAATATATATATTTTGCTTTGTTAATTAATAAAACTAATAAACATATTTATAATAATAATAAAAAATGTATAAAATAAAGCTTTAGTTTAACACGTATAAGTAGCTAAGTCTATCTACTACTTATCCCAGAAAGGAGGTGTTTTAAAAAAGCCCTACGCCCAGTAACTTCTCCCTTCATTGTTTACTCGAAAAAAGTGCTCGTATATGTTTTCATTTGCCGAGAGATCATTTTCAAAATATATTTATGATAAAAATATGCAAGTCTTGGTGATGAAAAATGTACTCCTAATAAATTATTTATTTTTACATATATTTCTTCGTCTTTATAAATTTTTTCTATATTTATTTCTTTGGGTGTCCATACAACAAAATAAACTTGTGAAATACCCGTAACAAGCATTTGTTCCTGGACTTGAAAGTAGTAATCATGATTTTTTTTTAGTTTCAATTCTCTGTCTGTCAATGTACAAAATTTGATTTTTTTTCTAACCGCTTCTTCGGTAGACAAATCTTGCGATTTTGAAGGGCATTTAATTTCGACTAATGCACTCCTATCCTCTAGAACCCTGTCTGGACTAGCAGCCAAGTAAGGAAATTGTTTTGAAATAAACAAGTCACACCGTTCAGTTTTTAGATTTTTATTTATTTTAAAACACTTGACAGCTTTTTCCTCACTTTGCTGTCCATAGTATGTATGACTATTACCGCTAAATGTACTGTACTACAGAGACTCCACAGTTTTAGCTATTGCTGTAGTCGGTCTAAGTTTGTAAATACGTCCAAAATTTGAAGCCGTAACCCTAATTTCTCTTTCTTTTGTCCAAATGTGCCTGTTGCCTAGTGTCTATTTCAATTTGGTCTAAATTCAAAGATAATTTTCTCAAAAAAACCTCTTTGGCTGTCACAAATGTTTCTACATCCATGACAGGATTTTCTAAAAAATATTTAAACCATAATCGCAGTCGGGACCGGCATACGTAAATTTTTTTACGACATATTTTTTTTACGAATACTTTGTCTAAGACGAGCTTGTTTTATAGGCGAACAATATTTTTTTGTTATTAAACCAGGACCGTTTTAATCACAATATATTTACTTATCCCCTCTAAAAAAATTGATGACGTCACCACAAAATTTTGCTGAATAAATCCTATCTAAATTGTATAAAATATGATGAGTCTCTTCTTGCGATTTATCATTCCATTCATCTTTTTTGGATTTGCATATACAGGGTGACCTCAAAAATTAATGAATGCGTAAATTTATTTTATTGATTTAATCAGGAACTACAGAACCCAATGCTTTGAAATCTTGCAAATGTTTTAAGGTTATAAAGAGCATAATAAATTTTTAGTCAAAATATATTTGCTTATCCCCTCAAAAAAATTGATGACGTCAGCTCAAAAGTTTGCCGTATAATCCTATTTAAAATTTACAAAATATGATGAGTCTCTTCTTGTAATTTATCATTCCATTCATATTGTTTGGATTCGGATATACAGGGTGACTCAAAAAATTTAATGAATGTGCAAATTTATTTTATTGATTTAATCAGGAACTACAAAACCGAATGCTTTGAAATCTAATGTGAAAAGAAAAACATAATAGGCATGCAGTCGTCACGTTTCCGATAGAGAGGGAAGTACTGTCTAAACTCATTAGACCAATTTTTTTGATTTTCCCATTTTTTCATTTCTCAATTTTTCAATGTTTCAGTTAGGGATTTTTTTACTGTTTCGATTCTTTAATTTTCCTTCCATTTTTAGGTTTTTCAATATTTCAGCTTTGGAATTTTGCAATATTTCGTTTCTTCAATTTTTCAAAATTTTGATATTGTGTTTTCTCGGTTTTTAAATTTTTCGATATTTTAATTTTTCAGTTTTTAAAGTTTTAGGTTTTTAGATTTCTCACTATCTCGACTTTTCGATTTTTCAGTTTCATGATTTTTCAATTTTTCGAATTTTTAAATTTTAGATTTTTTGTTCTCGATCATTCAATTTTCTGAGTTTTCAGGCTTAGATTTTTTTTGTTGTTCAATTCTTGGATTTTTAAAATTCTTGATTTTTAAATTTTCCTATTTATCAATTTACTGGGATTTCAATCTTTTGATTTTTTGATTGTTGAATTTCTCGATTTTTTGAATTTTTAGTTTTTGATACGATTTTTTTTTCCAAAAATTTTCAGTTTTTCAATTTATTAACTTTACGATATTTCAGTTTTACGATTTTTAAATTTTTTTATTTTTCAGTTTTCATTTTTTGACGTTTCTAAATTTTTCGATTAACTGATTTTTTGATTTTCCCATTTCTCTATTTCTCGATTTTTCAATTTTCCTTCCATTTTTCAGTTTTTCAGTATTACAGTTCTGAGATTTTGCAATGTTTCGGTTCTTCAATGTTTCCTTTTTTTGATGAATTTTTCGATAGGTATTTTAATTTTTCAATTTTTAAGTTCTAGATTTTCCGTTAATTTTTTTGTTTTCCTGGATGTTTTGATTTCTCAATTATTCGATTCTTCAAGGTCTCGGTTTAGATTTTTTGGTTTTCCAATTTTTCGATTTTTAAATTGTTTAATTGTTAGATTGTTCAATTTCTCGATTTATAGTTTTTTCAATTTTTCGGTTTACCGATTTTTTTCATTTAAAATGTTTCAATTTTTCATTTATTAAGTTTTCGATTTTTCAATTTTTAGTGTAATTTGAAAACGGTATTAAAAATGCATTTAGGCGAATAAACTAATAGATGGGCTTGATAAGCCTTGTTTGCTCTACAGTGTCTAAATTGTGTTTGAATAATATAATAATTATCTCGAAAATTAAAATTAATATGTCAAAAGAATACGAGAAATGATTATTCTGTGCTGAACGTATGTTGTCAGGTAGATTTAAAGAAGAATTGCTGGTTGCGTTTAAGGCAACAAATGGCGCCCAATTCAAACTTGTCTCTTGTCTAGTGTTCCCCCTTAATGACTATATTATTGAAGAATCGTAGATAAACTAAAACATTTACATTCCTTCTATATTATCCTTTCACGATCTTAATATAGTAAAGTAGGCTTTGATATTTTATTGCTACTGAAAACTGAAAGTATCGGCACAATGTTTATATTTCTGGCATATTTTTTAACGTTTAATTTAATAAAACATAACCTAACGAAAAAAGCTCAGGGAATTTTTATTCTTCTGCATCGAATACCAACAAACTCACTAGATTTTCATGGCCAACTCTACTATATAAAGATCGTGAACGGATAAGCAATGATCAGCCCCAAAATTATTTCTGTCAGCTAAATATTTTCCATTTTCGTTTCCTTTAAAATGTTTTCGAACTCAGAAAAAACAAGGCATGCTATTAACTTTAGAATTGTTTACACAGAGCGTTTAGACCAAGACCAAGAAGAAAAGTACGCTTGGGCTGCACGGAACTCTGATTTGACGCCATTAGATTTTTTTCTTTGGGGGAAAGTGAAAAATGTGTTTACACTTTTGAACTTTACTTTACGAAAACCCAAAACGAACTAATTGATACAGGAAATGCAAATCGGTGCTTTAATTATTTTAAAACCTAATACCAGAGATAATTTCAACAGTTTATTAAATTACTCAATTCCGGCAACTTCTTTAACCCAGTCGAGGGCTGGAAAGAGTCGAGCGTAGATCAAGGGATTATAAGATGTGCAAGTGCCGATGGTCGCACTAAAACTGGCTATTCCCATAATCCACTGATGCTCGTTACTAAGCACACTAAGCAGTGGACTACCGGTACTACCCTAAAAATAACACATGTCACATACGTACTAACCAAAGAATAACCTTACTTTGCAAAAAGCCTCATCGTCGTTACTAACCACACAGACCATGCTATCGCTAAGAAGTTTTCCGTAACGCATCTTACATTCCTCCTTTGAAATGGTACTTACATTGGCATAATTAAGCGAAATGCCTGAGCCGTCACTGAACGAACCCCAAGAAACGCCAACACCGCTAAAATCGTCCGGTAGTTTCACAGTCGCCAAGTACGCGGCTCGTATGTACTCTAAACCCAAAATGTTACGATCATTCAGTTATAGAATTACATAGTACCGGTGTAGTTCACAGGGTCAAACAGCTGGATGATCCCAATGTTGTAGTCGAGTGTTTGTGGGTCGAAATCTGGATGGACCATGTAGTGAACAGCGAACACAGTGACGGTATCGGCACTAATTAGAGCGCTAGTTCCTAGACTAACGTTGAATCGGAGAGCACTGGAAATGGAATGTTGTAGTCTGGTTTAGTTGAAAGAGGTCTAAATACTCTTGGACGCAAATAGCTGTGGTTATAACGTAGAATTCGTTGATGAGAGTACCACCACAGAAGTGGGTTCCACGAGTAGAGTAGTTGTAGATGATGGCGGATGAAGGAAACTGGCCTTTGGTGGCGATACCATACGTGCTGACCCCGTTGTTCTGTAAATTTAACTAGTTAGGTGGTTTGATTTCTCGAAAAAGTGAGTACTTTTGCTAAACCGGGGACCAAAGTGAGTACTACAAAAAAAGCAGAGAGGCGCTTCATGTTGTCTTGTGTTTACTACTGGAGCAGTCGCTTTTTTTATATACTTTATGGGAATTTTGATAAGGCTTGTTACAAGTTTATAGACATTTTTGTGGATTTTCAAAAGATGAATTACAGTCTTTGTTATTGTTTATAAAAGATAATGTCACCTGCACTAGCTAGTATCAAGCAGCACATAAAAGTGAAAAGGCAAAAGATAACACTTTGTCCTATTTTTGAAGAATAATTGACATTATCTTTTAAAACAATATCCGATGTTTGAACAATTCATCAAAAATTTCGACACAGCTCGAAACAAAACGAATGACATATCTAAGATACCATCGACTTATCAAAATCACAAACAATACACACCCACTCGTATAAAAGGGTGACCATTTTGGCAGAAATCAAACAACAAAATGAAGCTCTTCTCTGTTTTCGTACTTTTGGTAGTACTCGCGTTAGATCCCGTTTTAACATCTCCAACTCCAGACAAAATATCCAAAGAGGCGAGATCGCACGGGATTGCCTTCGATGGACAGTTTCCTTCATCAGCCAGCATCTACATTCAGGCGCCTTCTGGGACCTTCTTTTGTGGTGGTACCCTCATCAGCGAACTCTTTGTTCTAACCACAGCTAGTTGCATTCAAGGGTAAGGTGGTATCACTCAGAATTGTCACACAACACACATCTTTTCTAATAAATCTAAAATTTAAAACATTGAACAATTGAAATATATCGCAAATTGAAAAATGGAGAAATCCAAACATCAAAGAATCAAAAAAGAAAAATTCGAAAATCTAAAACTTAAAAATCGAAAAACTGAAAAATCGACAAATCGAAACCCCAGAATTTAAAAAAATTGAAAAATCGGATAACTAAAAAATCGAAATATCGAAAAATTGGAAAATCGAAAAACCGAAAAATCCAAAAATCGAGAGATAGAAAAAAATTCAGAAATTGATAAATTGAGAAATTGAACAATCAAAACATCCAAACATCTGAATTCGATAAATCGAGAAATAAAAAAAATTGAAACATTTTAAAAAAGAAAAATTAAAACATTGAAAAGTTGAAAAAAAATTGAGAAATCGAAGTATAAAGCTGTCGAAAATTTGAAAAACCTGAAGTTTAACGAAAAATTGAAAATCCAAAATGTAAAAAAGGGGTGGAAATCTAAAAACTGCAAAGTGAAAAATTTTAAAATTGGAAAATCGACGAATTGGAATCGATTCTCCCGAAAATTTGAAAAATTGAATAAACGAAAAATTGTAAAATCGAAAGAAACAACAAAAAATAAAGGAAATGAAAAAATGAAAAATTGTGATAAAATCGAAAAAGTGAAAATTAAAAAATCGGGATAATGAAAAATAAAAATCGGACACAAAAAATTGGAAAAGGAAGAAATTAAAAATTGAGAAACTGAAATATCGAAAAATGAAAAACTGTAATATTGAACAATTGCCAAATTGAAAAACTGATCCAAATCGAAAAATTGAAAATTTTGGAAGTCCAGAAATTGAAAAATTGAAAAATCAAAAATAAAAAACTAAAAATTACAAAATGAAAACTTGAAAAATCTTAAGAATCGAAAAAGTGAAAAATAAAAAAAAAATAAATATGTATTATGAAATAGAAACATTGAAAAATAAAGAAATTGGAAAATCGGAAGACTGGAAATCCAAAAACTGCAAAGTGAAAAATTTAAAAATTGAAAAATCGACGAATTGGAATCGATTCTCCTGAAAATTTGAAAAATTGAATAAACGAAAAATTGGAAAATCTAAAGAAACAACAAAAATTAAGGAAATGAAAAAACAAAAAATTGTGATAAAAATCGAGAAAATGAAAAATAAAAAATCAGTAAAATGCAAAATAAAGTATAAAATTTTTCGATATTTTTGAGTTTTGCGATTTTTTAGTATTTCGACTTTTCAAATTTTTCCAGTTCTGGATTATTCGATTTCACGACTTTTTACTTTTTGGATTTTCAATTTTTCGCTTTTTAAACTTTGGATTTTTCAACTTTTCGATATTTTAACTTTTCAGTTTTTAAAATTTTAGATTTTTCGAATTTTCAGTTCTTGTACATTCCAATTTTTCTATTATCGGAATTTTTAAACTTTCGATTTTCCATTTTTCTTTTATTTTTCGATATTTTAGTTTTTCGATTTTTAAAATTTTTGATTCTTGGATAATTCAATTTTTCGATTTTTCAGTTCTTCAATATTGTTTAAAAAGTAAAAATTAGAAAATGAAAACTTGAAAAATCTTAAGAATCGAAAAAGTGAAAAATAAAAAAAAAGAAATATGTATTATGAAATAGAAATATTGAAAATTAAAGAAATTGGAAAATCGGAAGACTGGAAATCCAAAACTGCAAAGTGAAAAATTTAAAAATTGAAAAATCGACGAATTGGAATCGATTCTCCCGAAAATTTGAAAAACCGAATAAACGAAAAATTGAAAAATCGAAAGAAACAACAAAAATTAAGGAAATGAAAAAACAAAAAATTGTGATATCAAATCGAGAAAATGAAAAATAAAAAATCAGTAAAATGCAAAATAAAAAGAGGGGAGTTGAAAAATTGATGGAACGAAAAATTGAAAAAAGGAAAAATTAAAAATCGAGAATGCGAAAAATGGAAATATGAGAAATTGGAAATTTGGAAGTCGACAAATTGTAAAATTGAAAAAACAAAAATAAAAAAACGAAAAAGTGTATAATAAAAATTGAAAAATGTAAAAAGTAAAAATCAAACTTGAAAATTTGAAGAAGAATTGAAAAACCTGAAAATTTGAAAAATTGAATAAACGAAAAATTGTAAAATCGAAAGAAACAAAAAAAAATAAAGGAAATGAAAAAATGAAAAATTGTGATAAAATCGAAAAAGTGAAAATTAAAAAATCGGGATAATGAAAAATAACAATCGGACACAAAAAATTGGAAAAGGAAGAAATTAAAAATTGAGAAACTGAAAAATCGAAAAATGAAAAACTGTAATATTGAAAAATTGCCAAATTGAAAAACTGTTGAAAACCGAAAAATTGAAGGAACGAAAAACTGAAAATTTTGGAAGTCGAAAAATTGTAAAATTGAAAAATCAAAAATAAAAAACTAAAAATTACAAAATGAAAACTTGAAAAATCTTAAGAATCGAAAAAGTGAAAAATAAAAAAAAGAGATATGTATTATGAAATAGAAATATTGAAAATTAAAGAAATTGGAAAATCGGAAGACTGGAAATCCAAAAACTGCAAAGTGAAAAATTTAAAAATTGAAAAATCGACGAATTGGAATCGATTCTCCTGAAAATTTGAAAAACTGAATAAACGAAAAATTGGAAAATCGAAAGAAACAACAAAAATTAAGGAAATGAAAAAACAAAAAATTGTGATATAAAATCGAGAAAATGAAAAATAAAAAATCAGTAAAATGCAAAATAAACATCGGGGAGTTGAAAAATTTGGTGATGAAAAATTGGAAAAAGGAAAAATTAAAAATCGAGAATGCGAAAAATGGAAATATGAGAAATTGTAATATTGAAAAATTGGAAATTTGGAAGTCGACAAATTGTAAAATTAAAAAAACAAAAATAAAAAAACGAAAAAGTGTATAATAAAAATTGAAAAATGTAAAAAGTAAAAATCAAACTTGAAAATTTGAAGAAGAATTGAAAAACCTGAAAATTTGAAAAATTGAATAAACGAAAAATTGTAAAATCGAAAGAAACAACAAAAAATAAAGGAAATGAAAAAATGAAAAATTGTGATAAAATCGAAAAAGTGAAAATTAAAAAATCGGGATAATGAAAAATAACAATCGGACACAAAAAATTGGAAAAGGAAGAAATTAAAAATTGAGAAACTGAAAAATCGAAAAATGAAAAACTGTAATATTGAAAAATTGCCAAATTGAAAAACTGTTGAAAACCGAAAAATTGAAGGAACGAAAAACTGAAAATTTTGGAAGTCGAAAAATTTTGGAAGTCGAAAAATTGTAAAATTGAAAAATCAAAAATAAAAAACTAAAAATTACAAAATGAAAACTTGAAAAATCTTAAGAATCGAAAAAGTGAAAAATAAAAAAAAGAGATATGTATTATGAAATAGAAATATTGAAAATTAAAGAAATTGGAAAATCGGAAGACTGGAAATCCAAAAACTGCAAAGTGAAAAATTTAAAAATTGAAAAATCGACGAATTGGAATCGATTCTCCTGAAAATTTGAAAAACTGAATAAACGAAAAATTGGAAAATCGAAAGAAACAACAAAAATTAAGGAAATGAAAAAACAAAAAATTGTGATATAAAATCGAGAAAATGAAAAATAAAAAATCAGTAAAATGCAAAATAAACATCGGGGAGTTGAAAAATTTGGTGATGAAAAATTGAAAAAAGGAAAAATTAAAAATCGAGAATGCGAAAAATGGAAATATGAGAAATTGTAATATTGAAAAATTGGAAATTTGGAAGTCGACAAATTGTAAAATTAAAAAAACAAAAATAAAAAAACGAAAAAGTGTATAATAAAAATTGAAAAATGTAAAAAGTAAAAATCAAACTTGAAAATTTGAAGAAAAATTGAAAAACCTGAAAATTTGAAAAATTGAATATACGAAAAATTGTAAAATCGAAAGAAACAACAAAAAATAAAGGAAATGAAAAAATTAAAAATTGTGATAAAATCGAAAAAGTGAAAATTAAAAAATCAGGATAATGAAAAATAAAAATCGGACACAAAAAATTGGAAAAGAAAGAATTTAAAAATTGAGAAACTGAAAAATCGGAAAATGAAAAACTGTAATATTGAAAAATTGCCAAATTGAAAAACTGATGCAAACCGAAAAATTGAAGGAACGAAAAACTGAAAATTTTGGAGGTCGAGAAATTGTAAAATTGAAAAATCAAAAATAAAAAACTAAAAATTACAAAATGAAAACTTGAAAAATCTTAAGAATTGAAAAAGTGAAAAATAAAAAAAAGGAAATATGTATTATGAAATAGAAATATTGAAAATTAAAGAAATTGGAAAATCGGACGACTGGAAATCCAAAAACTGCAAAGTGAAAAATTTAAAAATTGAAAAATCGACGAATTGGAATCGATTCTCCTGAAAATTTGAAAAACTGAATAAACGAAAAATTGGAAAATCGAAAGAAACAACAAAAATTAAGGAAATGTAAGAACAAAAAATTGTGATATAAAATCGAGAAAATGAAAAATAAAAAATCAGTAAAATGCAAAATAAAAATCGGGGAGTTGAAAAATTGAGGGGACGAAAAATTGCAAAAAGGAAAAATTAAAAATCGAGAATGCGAAACATGGAAATATGAGAAATTGTAATATTGAAAAATTGAAAATTTGGAAATCGACAAATTGTAAAATTGAAAAAACAAAAATAAAAAAACGAAAAAGTGTATAATAAAAATTGAAAAATGTAAAAAGTAAAAATCAGACTTGAAAATTTGAAGAAAAATTGAAAAATCTGAAAATTTGAAAAATTGAATAAACGAAAAATTGTAAAATCGAAAGAAACAACAAAAAAATAAAGGAAATGAAAAAATGAAAAATTGTGATAAAATCGAAAAAGTGAAAATTAAAAAATCGGGATAATGAAAAATAAAAATCGGACACAAAAAATTGGAAAAGGGAGAAATTAAAAATTGAGAAACTGAAAAATCGAAAAATGAAAAACTGTAATATTGAAAAATTGCCAAATTGAAAAACTGATGCAAACCGAAAAATTGAAGGAACGAAAAACTGAAAATTTTGGAAGTCGAGAAATTGTAAAATTGAAAAATCAAAAATAAAAAACTAAAAATTACAAAATGAAAACTTGAAAAATCTTAAGAATCGAAAAAGTGAAAAATAAAAAAAAAATAAATATGTATTATGAAATAGAAATATTGAAAATTAAAGAAATTGGAAAATGGGAAGACTGGAAATCCAAAAACTGCAAAATGAAAATTTTAAAAATTGAAAAATCGACGAATTGGAATCGATTCTCCTGAAAATTTGAAAAACTGAATAAACGAAAAATTGGAAAATCGGAAGAAACAACAAAAATTAAAGAAATGAAAAAACAAAAAATTGTGATATAAAATTGAGAAAATGAAAAATAAAAAATCAGTAAAATGCAAAATAAAAATCGGGGAGTTGAAAAATTGAGGGGACGAAAAATTGAAAAAAGGAAAAATTAAAAATCGAGAGTGCGAAAAATGGAAATATGAGAAATTGTAATATTGAAAAATTGAAAATTTGGAAGTCGACAAATTGTAAAATTGAAAAAACAAAAATAAAAAAACGAAAAAGTGTATAATAAAAATTGAAAAATGTAAAAAGTAGAAATCAAACTTGAAAATTTGAAGAAAAATTGAAAAACCTGAAAAGTTGAAAAATTGAATAAACGAAAAATTGTAAAATCGAAAGAAACAACAAAAAATAAAGGAAATGAAAAAATGAAAAATTGTGATATAAAATCGAAAAAGTGAAAATTAAAAAATCGGGATAATGAAAAATAAAAATCGGAAACAAAAAATTGGAAAAGGGAGAAATTAAAAACTGAGAAACTGAAAAGTCGAAAAATGAAAAACTGTAATATTGAAAAATTGCCAAAGTGAAAAACTGATGCAAACCGAAAAATTGAAGGAACGAAAAACTGAAAATTTTGGAAGTCGAGAAATTGTAAAATTGAAAAATCAAAAATAAAAAACTAAAAATTACAAAATGAAAACTTGAAAAATCTTAAGAATCGAAAAAGTGAAAAATAAAAAAAAAAATAAATATGTATTATGAAATAGAAATATTGAAAAATAAAGAAATTGGAAGATCGGAAGACTGGAAATCCAAAACTGCAAAGTAAAAAATTTAAAAATTGAAAAATCGACGAATTGGAATCGAATCTCCTGAAAATTTGAAAAACTGAATAAACGAAAAATTGGAAAATCGAAAGAAACAACAAAAATTAAGGAAATGTAAGAACAAAAAATTGTGATATAAAATCGAGAAAATGAAAAATAAAAAATCAGTAAAATGCAAAATAAAGTATAAAATTTTTCGATATTTTTGAGTTTTGCGATTTTTTAGTATTTCGACTTTTCAAATTTTTCCAGTTCTGGATTATTCGATTTCACGACTTTTTACTTTTTGGATTTTCAATTTTTCGCTTTTAAAACTTTGGATTTTTCAACTTTTCGATATTTTAACTTTTCAGTTTTTAAAATTTTAGATTTTTCGAATTTTCAGTTCTTGTATATTCCAATTTTTCTATTATCGGAATTTTTAAACTTTCGATTTTCCTTTTTTTTTATTTTTCGATATTTTAGTTTTTCGATTTTTAAAATTTTTGATTCTTGGATAATTCAATTTTTCGATTTTGCAGTTCTTTAATATTGTTTAAAAAGTAAAAATTAGAAAATGAAAACTTGAAAAGTCTTAAGAATCGAAAAAGTGAAAAATAAAGAAAAAATAAATATGTATTATGAAATAGAAATATTGAAAAATAAAGAAATTGGAAAATCGGAAGACTGGAAATCCAAAACTGCAAAGTAAAAAATTTAAAAATTGAAAAATCGACGAATTGGAATCGATTCTCCTGAAAATTTGAAAAATTGAATAAACGAAAAATTGGAAAATCGAAAGAAACAACAAAAATTAAGGAAATGAAAAAACAAAAAATTGTGATATAAAATTGAGAAAATGAAGAATAAAAAATCAGTAAAATGCAAAAGAAAAATCGGCGAGTTGAAAAATTGAGGGGACGAAAAATTGCAAAAAGGAAAAATTAAAAATCGAGAAAGCGAAAAATGGAAATATGAGAAATTGTAATATTGAAAAATTGAAAATTTGGAAGTCGACAAATTTTAAAATTGAAAAAACAAAAATAAAAAAACGAAAAAGTGTATAATAAAAATTGAAAAATGTAAAAAGTAAAAATCAAACTTGAAAATTTGAAGAAAAATTGAAAAACCTGAAAAATTGAAAAACTGAATAAACGAAAAATTGTAAAATTGAAAGAAACAACAAAAAATAAAGGAAATGAAAAAATGAAAAATTGTGATAAAATCGAAAAAGTGAAAATTAAAAAATCGGGATAATGAAAAATAAAAATCGGAAACAAAAAATTGGAAAAGGGAGAAATTAAAAATTGAGAAACTGAAAAATCGAAAAATGAAAAACTGTAATATTGAACAATTGCCAAATTGAAAAACTGATCCAAACCGAAAAATTGAAAATTTTGGAAGTCCAGAAATTGAAAAATTGAAAAATCAAAAATAAAAAACAAAAAATTACAAAATGAAAACTTGAAAAATCTTAAGAATCGAAAAAGTGAAAAATAAAAAAGAAGAAATATGTATTATGAAATAGAAATATTGAATATTAAAGAAATTGGAAAATCGGAAGACTGGAAATCCAAAAACTGCAAAGTGAAAAATTTAAAAATTGAAAAATCGACGAATTGGAATCCATTCTCCTGAAAATTTGAAAAATTGGATAAACGAAAAATTGGAAAATCGAAAGAAACAACAAAAATTAAGGAAATGAAAAAACAAAAAATTGTGATATAAAATCGAGAAAATGAAAAATAAAAAATCAGTAAAACGCAAAATAAAAATCGGGGTGTTGAAAAATTGAGGTGACGAAAAATTGAAAAAAGGAAAAATTAAAAATCGAGAATGCAAAAAATGGAAATATGAGAAATTGTAATATTGAAAAATTGGAAATTTGGAAGTCGACAAATTGTAAAATTGAAAAAACAAAAAGGAAAAAACGAAAAAGTGTAACGAGAAGTTGTAAAATTGAAAAATCAAAAATAAAAAACCAAAAATTACAAAATGGAAACTTGAAAAATCTTAAGAATCGAAAAAGTGAAAAATAAAAAAAAAGAAATATGTATTATGAAATAGAAATATTGAAAATTAAAGAAATTGGAAAATCGGAAGACTGAAAATCCAAAAACTGCAAAGCGAAAAATTTAAAAATTGAAAGATGGACGAACGGAAAATTCAAAGCCTGAAAATTTGAAAAATTGAACAAATGAGAAATTTTAAAATCGAGAAAAAAAAACACAAAAAATAAAGGAAATGAAAAAACGGACGTCACATTTAAAAATAAAAATCGGTAACATGAAAAATAATTGTGGAAACGAAAAATTGAAAATGAGAAAAATTAAAAACTCAGAATGTGAAAAAAAAAAAATGAGAAACTGTAATATCGAAAAATTGCAAAATTAAAAAATTCCAACTCTAAATATGGAAAAATTTAGAAGTCAAAAAACTGTAAAACTGAAAAATCAAAAATAAAAAATCGAAAAACTAGATAATGAAAACTTGAAAAATGTCAAAAGTGAAAATGAAACATGAAGATTTGGAAAATTGAAAGATTAAAAATTGAAAAACTTAAAATTCGAAAGTGAAAAATAAAAAAAAAATATGTATTGTAAAATCAAAATATTGAAAATGAAAGAAATATAAAAATTGGAAGACTGGAAATCCAAAAACTCAAAAAATCATGGAACTGAAAAATAAAGGCCTGAAAATTTGAAAAATTGAATAAATAAAAAATTATAAATCGAAAGAAACAACAAAAAAATAAAGGAAATAAACCAAAAATTGTGATCGAGAAACATCGAGAAGACATAAAATTGGCTATTCGTCAGATGGATCTCTTTATTGCGTTATCAGCAAAAAAATCTCTAAATCGAATCTTACAATTATCTGACAAAACTGAATATGTTATACCGGACTTCAAGAGCGAGGAAAGTGCTGTGTAAATAACTTTAGATCAATTTTTATAATTCAACAATTTACATAGAGTATCAAAAATAAAACACCGATAGCTTTTGAATAATTTTGAATGTGTCCTGCTAATTTTTTTTAATTCCATCAGTATTTTCTATTTTGACAGAATGACGAAAGAACCGAAACTTGGAGAGTTATAAAAAACGAGTAAAATTTGAAGCCTTTTTTGTCAGGGTAGGTATTTTACCCTGCATAATCTACGACAGAGATCGCAGTAGGTACAGTTGAAAACTTGAACTAATTTTTTGCTCTGCAGCGTTTACTTAACAACTGACGTTGTATATGAATTGTGTAGCACTTATTAAAAAACGTATTGATGCAATCTGTTAAGAAAGGTTCGTTGTAGACACATCTTTTTTTAATTTTTTTCGCACTACCAAGTGTACGTTGTAACAACAATGTAAATGTCGTCATTTTTACATATTTTTACTTTTTTTTTACACAGGAAACAGAACTGAAAATCAAATTTTAATATAAGAGGGATAAAATATGTCTAATAAGGATTGTTAAGAAAAAAAAGTATCGTCCTAAGTCAATTTCTCTCGTTTTTACAGGACATTTCAAATGGGATGAAAACTGTCCCAAACCAGGTCGAGTGATACTGCCTTAAATTGTAACTATACCTCTTTCCAGTGCTGTTCTCTTCACCGTTCGTCTTGGATCCAGTTCACTAGGAAGCGATGATCTTATCACTGTGGTCGCTGATACTTACTGCTTACATCCAGATTACGAGTCGTCGACGCTCCAGAACAACCTTGGGCTCATCCAGTTCCGAGAACCAGTTAAAGATGTAGAGTACGTGCGACCTGCATATTTACCGACTGAGCCGCTTGACCCTGAGTCTATATATGTTGCCGTTTCTTGGGGCTCGTTCACTAGTGGTAACGGTAATGATCTTAACTATGCCACTGTAACTATTGTACCAAATGATGAGTGCATGGTCAAGTCCGATAGCTTGGCTTGTGGGGTTAGTGAGGACGATGAAGGGTTATGCTGGGTAAGGTATTTTTTGGTTACTATGTGTGTTATTATTATAACATGTGTTATTTTTAAAGGGTACTATGGGCAATGCCATGCTTACTGTGCTTGATGCCAAGGATCAGTGGGTTATGGGGGTAGCCAGTTTTGGTCTAGCTAATGCTTGCAGTCCCTCTGATCCTTACGTCTACGTTCCAGTCTTTCCATTCGTCGACTGGATTAAGGCTGTTACCGGAATTGAGTAAAGTAGAAGACACAAATTTATTTTGTATAACTTTCAGCAATGTTACTTTTATTAGTATAAAAATGTGAAAGATTATTGTACTATGTAACTTACACGTGAGGTGAATAAAATTTTGGAGAATTTTGTTGTTTTTTTTTAATTTTTTCAAACGAAAATACAAATGAAAATGAGTCTAGCTCATCTGAAATAGAAGTAAGAAACGAATGGTAAATTTTCTTAAGTAAGTATCGATTTTGCAATTAGGGTCGCCCCTCGATCTGACAACGAATGCAAAATTCATAACAATTGACCTTGCGATGCATATGGGTAGGGCTTAATTTTTGGCTTGTTTTTTTCTTAATATGTGTAGACTTATTATTTCGACAACAAGAACCTTAAAACATGTCTAAAATTGTAAATTTTAACATTAAAAATTACATTAAAAATCAACTTAAATCCTCCACTTTTCTTTTACGACCCCTTTAAATACGGAAATATTTGAACATCAAAGTTTTCAGATTCATCGCAAAATGGGGCTATTCTGAGTCTGTTCCGAGTCTAGTGCTGTGTCTAGGATTTTTTCAAGCATTTGTTTCGTTGGTTTCATGTGAAAGAAGCTTCTCGAAATTAAAATTGATAAAATCGTGAGTGTTGAAGCATCAAACATGATTTCTAAATCTTGACCTTTTGCTTCCCACGCTTGAGTCCCGAGTACTGGAGTTTGCATCATGGATCCTTGATTCTTCCTTCTTGATCGATCTGTGGCTTTTGGTTCTCAGCACTTGATTCTTGATCCTTGATCCTTTGTCTTTGATCCTTCATCCTTCATATTTCATCCTTGATCTCTCATTCTTGATTCTCGATCTTTCATTCTTAATTTTTGATCTTTGATTCTTCTAAGTCCCGAATCCTAAATTCGAATGTCCAATTCGAAATCATAAGTCCTGAGTGTTGAAACATGAAACATGATTTCTAAATCCTGACTCTTGGGAGGCCACGCTCGAGTCCCGAGTCCTGGAGGTTTCATCATAGATCCTCGGGTCTTCCTTCTTCATCGATCTGTGGTCCTAGGTCCTTAACACTTGATCCTTGTTCCTCAGTAATTGATATATCATACATGATCCTTCATCCTAGATTCTTCATCCTTGATACTTCATCGTTGATGCTTCATCCTTGATCTTTCATTTTTGATCCTTCATCCTTCATCTTTCATCCTTCATCCTTCATTCTTCATCCTTCATCCATGATCCTTGAAACTTGATCCCCCAATTCTTGATTTTTGATCTTTCACCCTTCAACTTTTATTCTTTATCCTTGTTGATTCATCCTTGATCCTTCATCATTGATCTTTCATTCTTGATTCTTGATCTTTCATCCTTGTTCATTTATACTTTATTCTTGGTCGTTCATCCTTGATCCTTCATCCTTCATCCTTCATCCTTCATCCTTCATCCATGATCCTTCATTCATGATTTTTCATCCATGATCCTTCGTCCTTGATTCTTCATCCGTGATCCTTTATCCTTGATCCTTCATCCTTCATCCGTGATCATTCATCCTTGAACGTTAATCCTTGATCTTTCATTCTTGATTCTTGATACTTTATTCTTGATTCTTGATCCTTGATCTTTCAACTTTGATCCTTCATCCTTGTCAATTCATCCTTGATCACTCATTCCTGATCCTTCATCCTTGATCCCTCATTCTTAATCCTTGATCCTTCATCCTTGTTCATTCAACCCTTATTCTTGGTCGTTCATCCTTGATCCTTTATTCTTCATCCTTGATCCTCCGTCCATGATCCTTCATCCATGATCCTGTATCCTTGATTCTTCATCATTGATTCTTTATCCTTCATCCTTGATCCTTGATCCGTGATCATTCATCCTAGATCGTTCATAACTTATTTTTCATCCTAGATCGTTCATCCTTTATTTTTCATCCTTAATTCTTGATACTTTATTTTTGATTCTTGATCCTTGTTCTTTCAACTTTGATCCTTCATCCTTGTCCATTCATCCTTGATCATTCATTCTTTACCCTTCATCCTTGATCGCTCATTCTTAATTCTTGATCCTTCATTCTTTCTTCTCTATGCTTAATTCTTCGTTTTTGATCCTTTATCCTTGTTCATTCATCGTTGATCGTTCATCCGTGATCCTTCATTCTTGATTATTGATCCTTTATTTTTTTATTATTATTATTATTATCCTTTATTCTTGATTCTTGATCCTTCATCATTGATCCTTCATTTTTGATCCTTCATACTTGATCCTTCATCCTTGATCCTTGATCCACGATCTCTGATTGTTGATCCTTGATCCTTGATACTTCAACTTTGATTCTTCATTCTTGTTCATTTATCTTTGATCTTTCGTCCTTCATCCTTCATCATTAATTCTTCACCCTAAGTCCTTGATTTTTAATCATTCATCCTTGATCCTTCATCCTAGATTTTTCATCCTTGATCCTTGATCCTTGATCCTAGATCCTTCATCATTGATCTTTCATTCTTGATACTTCATCCTTGCTCCTTGATCCTTGATCTTCGATCATTCATCCTTCATCCTTGATTTTTCATCCATGATCCTTCATCTTGGATCATTCATTCTTGATTCTTCATTCTTGATTCTTGATCCTTCATTTTTGACCCTTCATCCTTGATCCTTCATCCTTAATTATTCATCTTTGACCATTATCCTTGATCCTTCATCATTGATCCTTGATCCTCGATTTTTAATTGTTGATTCTTGATCCTTCTTTCTTGATTCTTGATCTTTGATCTTTCATTTTTGAACCTTCATTCTTGTTCATTCACCCTCGATCATTCATCCTTGATCCTTCATTATTGATTCTTTACCCTTGATCCTTCATACTTGATCCTTCATTCTTGATCCTTCATCCTTGATTTTTCATCCTTGATCCTTGATCCTTCAACTTTGATCGTTCATCCGTGTCCATTCATCCGTGACCCTTTATCCTTGATTCCTCATTCTTGATCCTTGATCCTTCATTCATTGTTTCTTTATCCTTAATTCTTCATTTTTGATTCTTCATCCTTTTTTATTCATCCTTGATCTTTCAATCTTGATTCTTGATCCTTTGTTCTTGGTTTTTGATTCTTAATTCTTGATTCTTGATTCTTGATCCTCCGTCTTTGATCCTTCATCCTCCATCCTCGATGTCTCATTGTTGATTCTTGATCCTTGATCCTTCAATTTTGATTATTCATCCTTGTCCATTCATTTTTGATCCCTCATTATTGATCCTTGATCTTTCATCCTTCAAAATTAATCCTTCATCCTAGATCCTTGATTTTTGATCATTCATCCTTGATTCTTCATCCTAGATCTTTCATCCTTTATCCTTGATCCTAGATCCTTCATCCTTGATCTTTCATTCTTGATTCTTCATCCTTGCTCCTTGATCCTTGATCTTTGATCATTCATCCTTCATACTTGATCTTTCATCCATGATCCTTCATCTTTGATCATTATCCTTGATCCTTCATCATTGATCCTTGATCCTCAATCCTTCATTGTTGATTCTTGATCCTTCTTTCTTGATTCTTGATCCTTGATGTTTCATCTTTGAACCTTCATCCTTGTTCATTCACCGTCGATCATTCATCCTTGATCCTTCATTCTTGATCCTTCATACTTGATTTTTCATCCTTAATCCTCGATCCTTCTACCTTGATCCTTCATCCTTGATCCTTGATCCTTCATACTTGTTCATTCATCCTTTATTATTGGTGGTTCATCCTTCATCCTTGGCCCTTCATCCATGATCCTTTATCCATGATCCTTCATCTTTTATTCTCCATCATTGATCCTTCATCCTTCATCTGTTATCATTCATCCTTGATCTTTCATTTTTGATTTTTTATACTTTATTCTTAATTCTTGATCCTTGATCCTTCAACTTTGATCGTTCATCCGTGTCCATTCATCCTTGACCCTTCATCCTTGATTCCTCATCCTTGATCCTTAATCCTTCATTCATTGTTTCTTTATCCTCAATTCTTCATTTTTGATCCTTCATCCTTTTTCATTCATCCTTGATCGTTCATCCTCGATGTCTCCTTGTTGATTCTTGATCCTTGATCATTCAATTTGGATTATTCGTCCTTGTCCATTCATCTTTGATTCCTAATTATTGACTCTTGATCTTTCAATCTTCATCCTGAATCATCAATCCTTGATCCTTGATCATTCATACTTGATCCTTCATCCTTGCTCCTTGATCCTAAATCATTGATCTTTGATCATTCATCATTCATCCTTGATCCTTGATCCTTGTTCATTCATCCTTCATCCTTCATCCTTCATCCTTGATTGTGCATCCTTGATCCTTGATCCTTGATCATTCATCCTTCATCCGTGATCATCCATCCTTGATCCTTCATACCTTCATTCTTGATTCTTGACACTTTATTCTTGATCCTTGATCTTGGATCTTTGATCCTTCAACTTTGATCCTTCATCCGTGTTCATTCATCCTTGTTCATTCAGTCTTGATCCTTGATCATTCATACTTGATCCTTCATACTTGTTCCTAGATCATTGATCTTTGACCATTCATCCTTGATCCTTATCCTTGATCCTTGATACTAGATCCTTCATCCTTGATCGTTGATTCTTGATTCTACGTTCTTGATTCTTGATCCTTGATCCTTCATCTATGAAACTTTATCCCTAATCCTTCTTCCTTGATCATTCAACCTTGATCTTTTATCCTTTATCCTTGATCTTTCATCCTTGTTCCTTCACCCTTCATCCTTCATACTTAATCTTTTATCCTTGATCCTTCATCCTTGCTTTTTCATCCTTGATCCTTCATCTTTGATCCTTGATCCTTGTTTATTCATCCTTGATCCTTCATCCTTCAACCTTGATTCTGCATCATTGATCCTTGATCCTTCATTCTTCATCCGTGATCATCCATCCTTGATCGTTCATACTTGATCTTTCATTCTTGATTCTTGACACTTTATTCTTGATCCTTGATCTTTGATCCTTCAACTTTGATCCTTCTTCCTTGTCCATTCATCCTTGATCATTCAGTCTTGACCTTTCCATCTTGATCCTTCATCTTGATCCTTGATCCTTTATTCTTGCTTCTTTATTTTTAATTCTTCATCTTTGTTCATTCATCCTTGATCGTTCATCCTTGATCCTTCATTCTTTGATTCTTCATTCTTGATCCTTGATCTTCGATCTCTCGTTGTTGATTCTTGATCTTTGATTCTTCAATTTTGATTATTCATTATTCAGCGATTAAAGATGAATGAACAAATTCATCCTTGTTATTGATTCTTGATTTTTCATCCTTCATCCTTTATCATTAATCCTTAATACTTGGTCACTCATCCTTGATCTTTCATTCTTGATTCTTCATTCTTCATCCTTGATCCTTGATTCTTCATCTTTGACTTTTCATCCTTGATCCTTGATCATTGATCCTCGATCCTTCATCCTTCATCCTTGATCCTTCATCCTTGATGTTTTATCCTTGAAACTTCATCTTTGATCCATCATCCTTGATCATTCATTCTTGATTCTTGATCCTTTATCTTTAATCCTTCATCCTTGATCGTCAATCCCTCATTCTTGATTCTTGATTCCTGATACTGCAACTTTGATCCTTTCTCCTTGTTCATTCATCCTTGATGATTCGTTCTTGATCCTTCATTCTTGATTTCTCATTCTTGATCCTGGATCCTTTATTCTTGATTCTTGATCCTCGATGCTTCATCTTTGATGCTTCATCCTTGTCCATTCATTCTTGATCCTTCATTCTTGATCTTTCATCCTTGATCTCCCATTCTTGATTCTTCATTCTTGATTTTTTATTCTTGATCTTTGAACTTTCATCCTTGTTCGTTCATCCTTGATCATTCATCCTTGCTGGTTCATCCTTGTTCCTTCTACCTTATCCTTCATCCTTAATCCTTTATCCTTGTTCTTTCATTCTTTTTTGTTGATCTTTTATTCTTGATTCTTGATAATTGATCCTTCATCTTTGAGCCATCATCCTTGATCCTTCTTCCTTGATCTTTGATCCTTCATCGTTGATCCTTCATCATTGATCCTTAATCGTTAATGCCTACTTCTTAATGCCAAGTCCTGACTCTTGGATCCGAAATCCCGCACCCCAGATTCTAAATTCTCAATCCCAAATTCGAAAATCTAGTTCGAAATCATAAACTCTGAATTTTGACTCTCAGTACTGAGTCCCTATCTTAATTTGGTGTTCGAGACTGGAGTCCCGAGTTCTGGACTTTGCATCTTGGACTCCTTGATTCTTGATCTATGACTCTTGACCCTTAAGGGACCTTTATTATTAGTCTTTGTTCCGTCGTCTCGAAAATTAAAAAAGCGAAAAAATAAAAAAGTTTTAAAATCAACTATTTTAAAAGAAAAATTTTTTAAAATTACAATTATTATTACACATTTAACATGAAAACTAGTAAAATTGGAAATAATGAATTGAAGAAACGAAAAAAACTTCGGGAGTGTGAATTACGCCACCGGTTTTTACTTTATTGTCCACAACCAGCAAAGCGCGACTAAACTATTTTCAATTTATCAGAAAAAGAGAGAAAAGTAAATTTTGATAATGTCTTAGAATATTTTGCCAAAATAAAGGCCCGTGAGCAGTCCTTAAGATGAAACACCAATCCATTTTTTTAAAACCGTTTAAAACGGAAGTGTCATCTAGATAAAAATCTACATTTAAAATTTTACCTATCTGTAAAATTTATGACGCACGGGTTTTTTTAAGTGGAAATTTTTAACGTATTCGAGATTCGTGGTAATTTTCTTTGGAAGCCGCATTTTGAATCGTTTTGAAAATGTGTGCATTTCGGGAATTGTGGGGTTACGAAGTCGTAAAAAAGATCCATTTTATGAACGGATACTATAAAAAAACCGCTCAAGTCAATTCAGTGTAGCACCCAATCGACCTTTGGTAAAGTAATATTCACACCTTAGGGTAAGTAAAATCTAACTGTAATCCTGGGTATTAACTACTCGTTGAGAATTAAGATAATATTGTAGCTATAACTTTTTATAAGTGCAATAATATTAATAATTCGATAAGCCACCGAAAATATTACTTAATTACGAGAATAATAAAAAATTAAAAGTTCTACTGTTTTTGTAATATTTATATAGTAGAAACTGTCTCGAAAAAAGTTTTAAAAGCTAACTAAGTAACATCTTTCCATAAACCATGATTTACTATCTTCACGATAACATCTTCGTATTTATGAATGAACTATTCGAATACAATAGAAATACCTTTTGAGCGCAAATCACCTCAAAAAATTCCAGAACACGTGAGAAAACAATCAATAACAATAAATTTTGCACCCAACCACTCGAAATTGTCACACCTGCAACATATTCTTATCAAAATCCCATCAAGTGCACTTTGAGATTTTTCCCTGACCTTTGGTACGAGAAGTCGTGCACCTGGTGCTTAGTACATAATCTAGTTGAGGATCAGCGCGGAAGAGGGATGATCCTCCAAAAATCCTTTAATCTAGCCGACCTTTGCAGCATCCGATAAGGTTCTATAAAAGCAGAAACCTACAAAGTGTGAGCAGTTAGTTGGTTGTGGTAAATCATCACGATGAAGTTCTCTCTCTTCGTACTTGTTGTAGTGGCAGTACTGTCGGACCTTGCCTTCGCAAGGGTACTATTATCCAACGCACCTGTTAAGTACTAATACAACTTTTTACAGAAAGCAGTTTCCAATTTCCAAGCTACAAGAAAACTGAGTCCTCGCATCATCGGTGGTCAGGAAGCTAACGCCGGACAATTCCCTTCGGCTGCTGCCATCTACGTGAGCACCGCTGATGGTACCTACTTCTGTGGTGGTACTTTGGTCAGCAACCAGTTCGTTCTAACCGCCGGTCACTGCATCCTTGGGTACTTCAACCAATTTAATTAAGACAGATGGTAACAGATGATTTTTAGCGGCATTGCATTCCAAGTTCGTCTCGGATCTAACACTTTGAATGATAATGACCCCAATCGTGTGACTTTGAGCACTTCGCTCTACTTCATCCACCCATCGTTCAACCCAGAAACCCTCGAAGCCGACGTTGGTCTCGTCAAGTTCCATCTTCCTGTTGCATTGAATGGTGAGTTCTTTTTAATGCAAAAACCAGTCGCTTATTTGGTTTCTAGACTACATCCAACCTGTGTATCTACCAACTGTGGACCAGGCCGACAACATGGGAAATCTTGCCATCGGTTGGGGCTCAGTTAGCGATGGTACTCGGTACTTAATTCGTTTAAAACAATCTTTATTTACACTCTTGTTCTAGAAACTCCCAGTCTTAGCAATACCCTCAACTACGTCAGCGTAACCAGCGTTTCAAACACGGAATGTCAACTGAGTTACGCCAATCCTATTCTTGCTACCATGGTGTGTGTTATTGGTAACTACAACGAAGGAGCGTGTAGAGTAAGTTGTTGGTAGGTGGTTGAAGATGGTACTAATGGAAGTTTTTAAGGGCGACAGTGGTAGTCCGTTGTTGACTGCTCTCAACCATCATCACTGGATTGTGGGAGTGGCTAGCTTCATCAGTACCGATGGATGCGAAACGTCGGATCCTTCTGGGTACACCAGAATTTTCCCATACATCGACTGGGTCAAAACGACTATTGGAGTTTAAATCCCCAGACTGAACATATTGACTAATATAATTTTTCATAATTACATCTGTCATTTTTTTCTTATTCTTCCTACAATAGTTAAAATTTAAGGCAGTCTTCAGTTACAATGGAACAGTGCTTTTAGTAGTTTTTGCACAATTTTATTGTCGGATTATGAATTGTCTAAAAGATGGGCTCTCTCAGTTATCTGTAACAGATTTGAGTGGACCAGAAAAATGTCTAAAGTTTGTTTGACCACAAATTTTGAATATTCTGCCCCTGTTTACTCAGTTATTTATTAAGATATGTTATTTATGTAAAGCGCAATGGATTTTTTAATACAATTTCTACTAATGCACCTTCTTGAAAATTTAAAATTGATCCAGAAATAGCGAAAACCAATAACAAATTTATTAAATAAAGAATCATTATTAAAAAAAAACAAACAATCTATTGCGCGGTTTAAGATATTATCTCAAAACATTTTCGTTTCGAATTCAAAGTTCTCTGTAATCAAATTCGGAAATTTTGAATCTAGTCCACTTTATTCTATCTAAAGTGTTTAGAGATTATGGAAACTCCCAGTGAGGAGGCAGACCAGTCTAGTATCTATAATAGTAACTTTCGACAATTACTTTATCGATTTTTCTTTAGTGAATTGATCATTGGCGAAACTTCTAATAAGTTGCATTGACACAAAGAATAAAAATTAAAAGATTTCTAAAAAGTATATTTACCTACTAACGAAAGAGCATTGAATTTTGGAAGACCACTGAATTTTATTAACATTCTTAAAAATCCTAATTCTAGTTAAAACTACATATATTAACAAGAGAAAAATATTAAACATCTAATTTCACTTGCTATAGATTGGGGAGTCGTTCTGAATGAAAATAAGTCTTTGTTAATTAGTGTATAACACGGAATATTTCTAGTTTTATCATGAGCCATTAATAGTATTAATGATGTTACTTTATTATCTTACAAACCATTGGATGACGAAAAAAATAAGTCAGTTAAGCAAGCAGTAGCCCCACCCACCCACCCCCTCTTCATTCCAATGACTACGCTTAATATTGTTTAGTCTAACCTTGGCAAATATAAGCCCCGCCCACCCACCCTTCGTTTTCTTACAGGGTATGTCATCTGCCAAAATCAGTTTTATCTTAGCAAGTTCTAACCCCACCCACTCGAGCTGCTGTCATTCTATTGATTTTATTTATGTTCAATATAAAATCCACCTTTCATTCAGAGCTGATAAAATCAGTCACGTGGCGACGACGGGGTGGGTGGGGTAAATTATATGTTCTTCTGTAGAGTGGGAATGGAAAGTAATAGAACCTACGTTGTAAAAAAAGCGCTAATCGTAATTTTTTTACACTAGTTTAACTTTTTTCTACTGAGTCTTTTTTTGCCAACTTCTGTCTCAGAGCCAATAAAATGATCAAAACGGAAGGGGAGTGGATGGGCGGGGATTCAATTCCCCTTTTACCGTAAACAAAATAAGTCAGTGAGAGAAAAGAAGTGGGCGTGGCTGGATTTCGCTTTTTTCGACAATCTTATAAGCAAGCAGAAGCCACCACTCACCTCCTCTTCATTCTAGTGACTTCTCTTAAAATTGTCCCGCCTCCACCAGGTCTCTATTTTATTAGAGGATATCATTTGCTAAAATCAGTCTTATCTTAGCAGGTACTAGCCCCACCCACCCGCTGTCTGTTTTCTTAGCGGGTATGTCATTTGTCAAAATCAGTCTTACCATAGCAAGTACTAGCTCCACCCACCCGCCCTCTTCTTATTCTAACGACTAATTTTATTATTGTTTAGCATAAGGTGCACCTTCTAATCAGAGCAGATAAAATTAATCAGTGAAATGGAGGCGGGGTGGGTGGGCGCGATTAATTAAATATTCTTGTGTAGAGTAGCTTTTTTGTACTATTTGCTATAAAATTTACTTCTTATTTCAGACCAAAAGAAAATAGGAGAACGGATGGGTCGGTGGGGCTAAGTTTAACTTTTTCTACAGTTTTTTTATAAACATGAAGTAGCCCCGCCCACCCACCCTCTCTCCATTCTGGCGACTACTCCTAATATTGTTCCGTCTTTTCTTAGCAAGTACTAGCCCCACCCACCCGCCCTCTTTTTATTCTAACGACTAATTTTATTACTGTTCAATATAAGATGCACCTTTCAATCAGAGCAGACAAAATTAATCAGTGAAATGGAGGCGGGGTGGGTGGGCGGGGTTAATTACATATTCTTGTGGGAGTAGGAATTATTATTATATTTTCTGTAGAATGAGAGTGGGAATTCATAGAACTAGGCATTAAAAAGAATAAAAAAGCGGCAATTGTAACTTTTTTTGTAATATTTTTGCTATAAAATTTACTTCTTATTTCAGAACAAAAGAAAATAAGAGGACGAGTGGGTAGGAGAGGCTAAGTTTAACTTTTTTTAGTTTTTTATGACCATGCATTAGCCCCGCCCACCCACCCTCTCTTCATTCTGGCGATTATTCCTAATATTATTCCGTCTTTTCTTAGCAAGTACTAGCCCCACCCACCCGCCCTCTTCTTATTCTAATTACTAATTATATTACTGTTCAGTATAAGATGCACCTTCCAATCAGAGCAGACAAAATTAATCAGTGAAATAGAGGCGGGGTGGGTGGGCGGGGTTAATTACATATTCTTGCGTAGAGTGGGAATTATTATAATTTTTTCTGTAGAATGAGAGTGGGAACTCATTGAACTAGGCTTTAAAAAAAATAAAAAATGCGGCAATTGTAACTTTTTTTTGTTCTATTTGCTATAAAAGTTACTTCTTATTTCAGAACAAAAGAAAATGAGAGAATAGGTGCATTAGCCCCGCCCACCCACCCTCTCTTCATTCTGGCGACTACTCCTAATATTGTTCCGTCTTTTCTTAGCAAGTACTAGCCCCGCCCACCCGCCCTCTTCTTATTTTAACAACTAATTTTATTACTGTTCAGTATAAGATGCACTTTCCAATCAGAGCAGACAAAATTAATCAGTGAAATAGAGGCGGGGTGGGTGGGCGGGGTTAATTACATATTCTTGCGTAGAGTGGGAATTATTATAATTTTTTCTGTAGAATGAGAGTGGGAACTCATTGAACTAGGCTTTAAAAAAAATAAAAAATGCGGCAATTGTAACTTTTTTTTGTTCTATTTGCTATAAAAGTTACTTCTTATTTCAGAACAAAAGAAAATGAGAGAATAGGTGCATTAGCCCCGCCCACCCACCCTCTCTTCATTCTGGCGACTACTCCTAATATTGTTCCGTCTTTTCTTAGCAAGTACTAGCCCCGCCCACCCGCCCTCTTCTTATTTTAACAACTAATTTTATTACTGTTCAGTATAAGATGCACTTTCCAATCAGGGCAGATAAAATTAATCAGTGAAATGGAGACGGGGTGGGTGGGCGGGGTTAATTATATATTCTTGTGTAGAGTGGGAATTATTATCAATTTTTCTGTAGAATGAGACTGGGAACTCATAGAACTAGACTGTAAAAAAAATAAAAATAGCGGCAATTGTAGCTTTTTTTTGTACAATTTGCTATAAAATTTACTTCTTATTCCAGACTAAAAAATAGGAGAACAAGTGGGTGGGTGGGTGTGGCTAAATTTAACTTTTTCTACAGTTTTTTATAACTATTCAGTAGCCCCGCCCACCCACCCTCTCTTCATTCTGGCGACTACTCCTAATATAATTCGGTCTTTTCTTAACAAATACTATCCCCACCCACCCGCCCTATTCTTATTCGAACGACTAATTTTATGACTGTTCAGTATAAGATGCACCTTCCAAACAGAGCAGATAAAATTAATGAGTGAAAAGGAGGCGGGGTGGGTGGGCGGGGTTAATTACGTGTTCTTGTGTAGAGTGGGAATTATTATACATTTTTCTGTAGAATGAGAGTGGGAACTCATAGAACTAGGCTGTAAAAAAATAAAAAAAGCGGGCCATTGTAACTGTTTTTTGTACTATGTGCTATAAAATTTACTTCTTATTTCAGAACAAAAGAAAATGAGAGAACGGGTGGGTGGGTGGGGCTAAGTTTAACTTTTTCTACAGTTTTTTATGACCATGCAGTAGCCCCGCCCACCCACCCTCTCTTCATTCTGGCGACTATTCCTAATAATGTTCTGTCTTTTCTTAACAAGTACTAGCCCCACCCACCCGCCCTCTTCTTATTCTAACGACTAATTTTATTACTGTTCAGAATAAGCTGCACCTTCCAATCAAAGCAGACAAAATTAATCAGTGAAATAGAGGCGGGGTGGGTGGGCGTGGTTAATTACATATTCTTGTGTAGAGTAGGAATTATTATAAATTTTTCTGTAGAATGAGAGTGGGAATTCATAGAACTAGGCTTTAAAAAGAATGAAAAAGCGGCAATTGTAACTTTTTTTGTAATATTTTTGCTATAAAATTTACTTCTTATTTCAGAACAAAAGAAAATAAGAGAACGAGTGGGTAGGAGAGGCTAAGTTTAACTTTTTTTAGATTTTTATGACCATGCATAAGCCCCGCCCACCCACCCTCTCTTCATTCTGGCGATTATTCCTAATAATGTTCCGTCTTTTCATAGCAAGTACTAGCCCCACCCACCCGCCCTCTTCTTATTCTAGCGACTAATTTTATTATTGTTCACTATAATATGCACCTTCTAATCAGAGCAGATAAAATTAATCAGTGAAATGGAGGCGGGTGGATGGGCGGGGTTAATTACTTATTCTTGTGTAGAGTGGGAATTATCATACATTTTTCTGTAGAATGAGAGCGGGAACTCATAGAACTAGGCTGTAAAAAAAAATAAAAATGCGGCAACTGTAACTTTTTTTGTACTATTTGCTATAAAATTTACTTCTTATTTCAAACCAAAATAAAATAGGAAAACGGGTGGGTGGGTGGGGCTAAGTTTAACTTTTTCTACAGTTTTTTATAAATATGTAGTGGCCCCACCCACCCACCCTCTCTTCATTCTGGTGAGTACTCCAAATATTGTTCCGTCTTTTCTTAGCAAGTACTAGCCCCGCCCA